GCATCATAATGTTTGCAGGATGAGCATGTTTAAATCATTCAGTCTGTCCACCTGAAACCAAAAGGGCTGTTCCCATCTGTGCTCAGGTTTGCTGTGTGAACACAAATTCTGTTGCCCTGGTTGTCTGCAACTGTGGATTAGGACAAGAGCATATTTTCTCTGTTTTGCAGTAATTTGTCCTGTAGTTCCAGTTTAATATGATTGTCCCCTTTTTATCTTTAATTGCTGCTGTGCACGATTAACTGGCAATATGATGACGCTTAAAGTCACTTTATGGTTGGTGAAGCAACCTCATTTTATGGGCAAAGGAAGATGTGGTTACAACCTTGCAAAGAAACCTGTTTATGCAAAGTCACATCAAGAACTTCTTTCATTTAGGTTAAAGGATCAAGTCCTTAACATTTGAAAATACACAATAAATACACAACAGTGCATCACTGAATATGAAGGTTAATAAAAATACAGCCTGGCATTTACATTAAAAAGGCTCTAAATTTTTTTCTTCACAGGTAATTAGTTCACACAATGAAATAATCTCCTTTCTTATCCTGGAAACACATGCATAAACCAGCTCAGATAACATCATTTACATACAGGCTGCTGCATCCGCATGTTAATGTCTGGCAGTGAAAAGTTCAGACAAGTTTGTAATCCCCGATTTCCTGCGCGTGCTCAGCACCCAGATTCCCAGAAAGTCAGAAGAGAAAGGGATACTAAATATTACTAAGATGACAGGTCAGCTGCAGTTCGGCCACATCTGCACAGCTTGCAAGTTACAGAGTTTCTCAGCCCGCAGGACCTTTGACAGCTCTGGACTTTTTTTTTTTTTTTTTAAAACTCGTGTTGCTATTTGTTTCTTTTGTCAGCCCCCCACGGCCATGGCGATCCTCCCGAGCCCATTGTGCCGCCACCACTCGCTTTGTCCTCGTCACTCTATCGGGCGGCACCGGGACCGATCTGCATTCCCATTTAAAGCACTATCATGTCACCCATCAGCAATCCTTCGCTTTCAGCCCTTAAAAACCACCACACAATGGCAGCCACGCCGTGAGGACAAAGGCACAGGCAGAGAGGAAAAAGGAGGAAAGCTGCAGTGGGAAGGCGGCAGCAGCAGCTGCAGCCGGGCTAACTTTGTTCTCCCGGGGTCCTTCTGGGCGAGCACTTGAACTTGGACCGATAACATACGTGCCCTTCATCTCCTGCTTCCCCTCCTAACACAACTTATCTCCCCAGTGCAGATACTGGAAGGAAGCTTAGCTTGGCTGCTTCTGCATCAAGGCCAACAGGTAATAACGCTGTTTTTACAGCACAAGCCAGTGAGTCCGTGCCTACCGACAGCTGCAGGAGAAAGGGAGGGCTGTGGGAGGGAAAGCCTCCTCTTGCAGTAATATTGATTGCCAGCAGCACTTTTCACAACACAAACCCTGCTTGCTGGGCATCCTTAAAATCAACAGCTCCTCAACAGCTGTTGGAGAAGGCCATCTAATCCAATTAATAGAAATCTGGTTGCTGCATTCAAACATGCAGCTACAGCATCCGAGGGTTTGGGAATTACCCAGGGAGCCTGGAGTGCTTACACTTTAACTAGGATTCACTCCTGGATACTGTCATCCTCCTAACAGTTCGGAGCCATCAGCTGTAAAGAGATCTTAGACTTCACAGGCTGCCTATGATTAATTGCCTGAAAATGCTGTAAAAGTTAGGGATTCTGTTCAAAGGTGAAATAACTGAAGTGCTGTAGCCTGGAACCAGCCAGCCAGGGAAGGATGTACAGAGTAATTCGTGCAGAGCACTTCTGTGAAACAGGCATGGCTCAAAGCAAGGCTTTAGAGTCCTACCTTTTACAAACATGACCCAGCTGTGCTCCTTGGGGTCCATAAGATTTTAATGAGGCAAAAATGATCAAAATGTCATGACCTCTGTTCTTCCTTGTCCTAAATTCGGGATGTTGGAAATGAAGCAGAGCTTAGCTAGGTTATATTTAGCTGATCACACAGAATGGAATAGCTTTAGGAGCATGAAATAAAAGTTTTAAAATAAAACACCGTGAGTTCAGAGTTGTTATCCCCCCAATATTGCAAAGAATCAGCTTATAAAAGCAAATGTGGTTTTCTCAGTGTTGCAATCCATGAGTATTAACCAATTCCTCTTCATTAAGACAATCTCCTAAATGGCTGAGAGGCTGGTTTTCTTTAATTTGTAGCTGCTACCTTGTAAATAGCAATCACATTATCCAGGCACTTTGTCTTTATTCAAAATACTTGTTATTTGTAGGCACAATATACTAGAAACAGTAGCTACAAAATGTTATAGGTATGTTGGCACAGGCTAAGAAAACAGCCCAGAAATGTTATTCAAAGGTGATTTATGGTTCCAGGCAATTTCCCTGCTCACAAAACGACACCTTCATCTAGTCCTCACTCCTACACAAGCTGGCTTCCGTGCAGTACCAGCCCTTGCATGTGCAAACCCTCTGAGGCAGTCTCCAGGTAGCCAGAAACCAAACACAAAACAGCAGCAGCCACAAACATCAGAAAACATTCATCAGAAAGTTCAGTTGTCTTTTTTCCCCCGCTGTCTGGATGTGACCAGAAAAAGAATAAACCCAGTGCAGAAAAAGAATAAACCCAACAGCTGCTAACAGCTGCTTCCTAGACTGCTGGATGAGCATGAAAATACCAAAAAAAAAAAAAAAATAAAAATCATTCATCTTTAAAGCTAAAACATCTGAAACAGCCTCCATGTTCTGGCTGACTTGGGAATTTACCAAGAAAGTTGCACAATACAGAGCAGTCGACTGCATGTGTAATCAGTGTCAAGACCCACCAGAAATTCATATTGTAAAGAGGTGATTTATGAGTTGAGTTGCTGAATTTTGCAGCTTTTTTTTCTCCTCAATTGCTTTGAAATGTACTCTTGTCAATTAATGACAATTTTATCAAATAAATTCTTATATATTTGTTTGTACCTCCTACTTCTTTTTTGATTTCTAGCAACTTGACTAGTACTTGGAAAAAATATATTTTTTTCTAAATAGCAGCTATTGCTGAAAAATAAGAGAGATTCACAAGCAAGTTACTAGGAAATGTTGGGTGCCTCACCTGATATGCTTTGAGCTTGATCTTTCAAGATGATAAGCACCTCCAGTTTTTAGCAATTCCAAGCAAGAAACTGATGGCCTGGATTCAGCTGCTTATGTAGGGGACAGACAGCTGTGGTATGGAAAAGGCAATTTTTTTCCTCCACGATAAGGAATGCAGAGCATTTTACAAATTGGGCTGAAATGGGTTTAAAGTTGCAGAAGAGAGACCTGCACAGTACCAGTCACTTTACACTGAGACTCAGGAAAGCTACCAGATGACAACTGATGAGGATGAGGTGTTTTTCTGAAAGTTTTCACTGATCAAATCTCTAGGCCATAAGTAAATCCCACTTGTTCTACATATCAAGTTAAACCTGCAGGCTCTGCTGGTTTTTTTTTCTTTCTTTTTTTTTTTTTTTGTACTCATTTCACCTTCAAAAGAGCAAGAGCGTGTTTCCATTTTTAGTCTGAAATTCTTTGAAGTATTCCCCGTTCCACAGAACAGGGATCTGGATAGAATTTGACAAAAACAAAAAATTAATTCCTTATTTTAGGTTTGGTTTCAGTAATAAAGAAGTTAATGATATCACATCTGGTTTTGTGCAGATATACTTTTACCTCAGTCCACTGGAAACAGCACCATTTGCTTATGGCTTTTCTTTTATCCCAAACAGAACCTAATCCAGCCTAAGTAAGTGTTCTAAACACATCCATGAGCCAATTAGCAACCACTGTGCTGATTGTCACTTACCCATAGCTACAATTCAAAGAGTTTCTTGCAGTTTTACCACAGCAGCCAAATAATATTTAGACAGACCTTAAAAACATTTTCTTTGGGCATACCACAGAATGTAGAAACAGCACAAAAAAAAAAAATAAAAATACCAAAACCTTAATTCCACAAGTAACATTTGAATGCTGACACATCTGGAACAGCTGGGTAACAAGTTGTGCGTGTCAAGTTCAGAAAGCAGCTGCTTTTAGCCTTCATTTTGGGCCAGGCATTTGTTTTCAGCCACCAGTATATTCCATTTTATTTTGTGGCAGCTTCTTCAGTGTTCCCATATGGACAAGCTAAACAGCTCCTAGGATATAATAGCAAGCATATATAATGTTCTTTAGAAGAAATGAAGGCCAGATGTTGCTTTGTTATCTCCACGTGCATCCTTAAAAAAGTTAAATTAAGTTGTTTCAAATATATTATTAATGCCAGGTATAGGCAATTTGTTTATCAGCCATTTAAATGTCAACTTTCTAAAGGATGGAAAAGAACATTTTAACTGAGGAATCAAAGTGAAATAAGGTAGAATAACTTCAGAAAATAAGTATAGCAAAATCCAGGGATCAAATAGCATTGTGAGAAAAGACATGATGACTCACTTCTGAGACCTGAATGAGTACTACTTATGGTTTATTAGAAAAGGCAAAAAAAAACCCCTCCACCTTATTGTTACAATATAATGAAAAGTTTAAGGTTAAGACTTATCCAACAGCACCATTGATTAAAGATCTTTTATTCTGCTGCTTTACTTGACCAGGATAAAACTTAACCCACCAGCCCTACTTCTAAAGAATTTAGTAGATCTACCACTAACAGTGTAATTCATTAATATTTTTCATGTATGTATTCCTGGTACATTTAGTGAATCCAAGAGGGTGGGCAGTAATTCTGTCACAGTCTGTCCAATTACTGTGATTTAGACAGAAACGTTTATTTTCCCCCCCCCAATTTCCTGAAAATAGAACCTTATTGGATTAATTTTATTACAGATTATTTATGAGGAAATATGAACTGAAGACTACTTTTTCCCCCCCTCAGTAATGACATAAACAAGGTTTGGGTTTCAACTGCCCAGTGAGGTCTTTCTCTTTGAGCCAGTCCACAACATACAAAAACTGCCAAGACACCAACTATAACTGTTGAGTAATGTCACTTTATTAAGGGACTTAAAAGAATCACATTCTCTAGTAGCCTTGGAACAATGCAAATGGTGAACAAAAGACAAAAATAGATGTAATTGGTTCTGAAAAGCATGAACATCTGTAGAGAATGTGTTGCATTATTCCTAAGGACTCCTGCTTTTGAAAAAAAGCACGTTCCATATATACAAGTGTCAGTGCAATAGCCAATAAAGCAATCAGTCAGAAATATAAAAATATCCTAGATACAAACTTAAAATAGATGTTTGAAAGCTGACCATATCAGAATTCTGATATTTCTATATCTCAGGAGTATGATCATTGGGATGAGTTATTCTGATGAGGTAAGAAACAGTAGATGCTCTGTGATAACACAAAGCCATATTTTCTTTTTCTATAAGACAAAAAAATAAAGCACCCAATGAAACTCCAAGTCTTTGCTCAAAGTGCCCACAGGAAGTGAAATTGTAGTCTATGAGCATTACTACATTCCTGCATCATTTACCTTTGCTATCTTTGCCAACAATTATACCAGCAAAACTTGCTAATTGTTCCACGCAGCTTCAGTACAAACTGCACATTCTTTGCAGATACACCAAACCTTTAATGCTTTAAACACAGCCAACATCTATAAATGTCCAAAAATCACTTAGTCATTCTTTCCTTTGTTGGTTGCAATTCTTGGCAGCAAGGGCAGAAAGATTGCAAAATTTGACAGCAAACAGATCTCACCAGAAGGGTTAGGGAGAGAACAGGGTGTGTCCTATTTGCTTTGCCTCAGGTGTTCCAGGGATGCCACTGAACTTAAACCTCAGCTGGTTGAGCAAAAAAAAAAAAAAAGTATCACCTTCCTCTCCTTCACTCTATTTTTTGGAAGGAAGGATGCACTAATTTAGGGCTACTGCTCCAAAAAAAAAAAGATGGCTATTTGGACAAACTTTCAGATGGATGCTGTCTGCCTGCATCATGATTCATTTTCTTTCCTTTAGCCACCTCTTTCCCTGTGACTTTCCAAGCTCTGCTGCTAAATTCTGATTCCTGTTTTTTCACTTCTCTAAGAAAATGGCAGAAGAACAGGTAGCCCAGACAGTGTACTCTGTGTCTTGGTAGTGAAGAGCCCCAGGAACACAAACTCCTACTTGGGGAGGGAGGCAATGATAGAGTTATTTCAAACTGTGTATTAATCTCAGGCATTCCTCTATGGAAAAACACAATGAATTATACAGTCTCTAGAACAGCAATATTAACCTGATCAGGATATGATTTGTACGATAAAAAAAGTGCAACAGGAGCTGGCAGTTGTCTTCTTGTGAAACTTGCCTTACCACTTATGGCACACACATGCACCCAAGCACAGAGCAGTTGCCTGAACCTGTGAAAGATTCCTCAGCTTTAATTCCTAGATTCAAAAGCTTTCCTTTAAATCGTTTCGTTTTTCATCACTCTTTTCTAAACCTCTTTTTGTCTCAGGCAAATTCAGACAGCTGTGCAAGGTGGGAAGGCGAAGCTACAGTAACATCTGCAGTGTGACAACACCAGACAAATTATTTCAGCTTTTCTTTCAGTTTCTGGAAGATGCCTTGCAGATGCCAAAGCCTCAAGGAATCATCACACTTCTCTCCTTAACCCCAAGTGAACTTGACAATCAACGTTTGCAAATATTGAATTACTGCTCACCACACCCTGCTAAGACAGGCTGTTACCTCTCACGTAAACAGGCAGGGAATGGAGGCACAGAATGACTAAGTGATTATTCCAATATCACAATACAAGTCTGGGAGAGTCAGGAGCTGAACCTGTATTTCTTGTGTCTCAGTCTCAGGTTGTCTTTTTTGTTCTGTGTTGCAGCCTTATTCTTTCCCGTTGAGGAAGACTGGGATCTCTTAAGAGTCTGTCACTGCTACTCTGGTTGACAGGTGATGTTGCCAATGAGATAGGAATTGTTGCATTCCCCACATCAAAAGGTGGAACACAGTGTGACATCTGTTTGCTGGAAGAAACACTAACCATACAAGTCCTTAAGAACATCAACATTTATTTAATATGATATAAAAGAAATGGGATATGAACATTCGTATTTTTGAACAATAATAAGTGGCTTCTTATACTTACATCATATGTGCTCATTGTATAATATATACACAATGAACATAATTACATTTGTACACAAACTAAGTACTGGATTGAAAACCTGCTTATTGCTGTACACACCCTAACCCCATGAAGGAAAAGCCCAGTACCTCAAAATACCTACACTCCATTTTATTCAAGAAAAAGTAACCACTAACATTAATGTCTATGTTGACAGAAGTGTGGCAGTAACTGCTGACATTGCAACCTGACCAAGAAATAATTACAGCAGAAACAGGACATATTTTACTAAGCAATAATAAAAATGGCACATTTTAAATATATCTATATGTATATATATATAAAAATTTTACAAATAAAATGTCAAAACAATAAATTGTAATGTTTAAAAAGTGTAAAACAAGTTTTAGTGGTGATATGTAAAATTAACCGAGTTACGCATCTAAAAGAGGCAAAAAAGTAAACTTACATGATCCATAATTAAAAGAACATTAAATTCTGGAGAATAGCAAATAAGGTTCTGACTGTAGGCTGCACATTAAAAAGAGCCTTTGTTTTATGTGCACAGAAATCATAGCAGCAAGCTGGTATCAGGAGAACAATCTGAAGGTTGTTGAGTGTACACGTGGGCCAGTTAAAGCTCTCTTGGAATAAACATTTTCCAGGAAGTGATAAAACGATGCTCTGTGGCCAAAAGCATCAGAACTATGAATTTCATAGATTTAAAATATACTGTACAATATCTTCTCATATTTTCATAGGTCAGGTCCATACATCTCAGGCATGAATTGTTTCAACAGAAGCCGTCAGTGCTGAAAGACAGACGTAGATTAAGTTACTCTATTTTAGCAACAGAATATTGTATAAAGCAACTCATGGGACTAAACACAGCAAAGAATTTCTGACCTCATCCTAGCAATGTAGGTGTAGAACATTACAAAGTATCTTAGGAATCAGTTGTTTCCAAAATCTGTTTTCCTGATGAACAATGGCGATGCCAAGGTATTTCGACACCAAGAGGCAAAACCAACCTTTTTTTTTCAAATTTACACGACTTCAAATAAAAGTGTGTTTATTCTTAGAGTTTTATCCCGTAATTCATGGTCATCCCCAAATGTTCTTCATAAAAAACCAGCAATAATAACAAAGATCCTAATTGCTCTAATAAATGACAGGCACAATTTGAAGAGGGATGCAGAATTATTTAGATGCTACACCGTAATGGCAGCATAGCTGTAAAGGTGTTCTGAAGTTCAAGTGCTCCACCCAGAGCTTGCTGAATATTGATAACTGATGCTAGGACTTCTATAAATACTTTTTAACAGTTCATTACTAAGAATGTTTCTGAGCTTTGAATCCAGGTGCTGTATTAAAATGTCATTATCCCTCCGCTGTGCAGAGAAAACGTCGTGCTTAAAATCCAACAGTGCTTGTGATAAACATACAGATTTGTCTCTGCAAAGCAAGGACTGTGAAATAGAAAGTAGCCTTGTGTTAACTGGTTTCTCCTTAGTCCTACAGTATCCTTTGCCACCAATTTCCTATGCCAAATTCCCCTGGTATCAGGCCAAGAGTATCGTTTTACTAATTGACTGTAAAAGCCAAATATAGGTATTACCTCTTGATTCTCTGAAATCTACTATGCATTTTCCAGATGCTGCCTGAAAAATTTGGTTGTGTGTGAACAGGGCTGATCCTGCAGCTTTGAAGTTGCCTTTGCCACCCAGGACTCCTTTGCATCTGAGAGACACCCAGTTCCTGCACGTTAAAAGTGAGGTCTCAGCAAAGCACGAAGCCCTTGGAATACTGGAACCAGAGCCCCAGGAGGTGAGGGGCAGTGAACACTGCAGGCAAGCACTGTGCTTCAGACATCTATGTATGCTAAGCCCAGCTCATGGCATGAATTTGGTTTGGAACTCCTGGGAAACAATCAACTGGGGGCATCAAATGCAGCAGGGTGGAATGTATATGCACATAGTTGAAAGCTTTTTTCCCCAACTCAAATCAAATACTGAATAGCCACAAAGGATGCATTTGAAGTTCTGGAATGCTTTCTTCATCATGGACAGGCATGTGTAAGCAGAGTGTGAGTTTTCCAAGTGCCATCCCAGATGTACCATTTTGCTGTAACAATTAAGGCCTCTTTGCAGAACTGTCCCTGACACAGAAACACTGGTGTTGGCCACTGGGATACACCTTGCTGAGGGTGCCAAGGCTTGGGCAGTGAGTCACAAGGCAGATCACTAAATGAGGGCTTTGCTTTTGCTAGTCTCATATTTAGCACAAACCCTGAAGAAAATGGATTTGCTGATCTGATCATCTGAGCTGATGACAAGAACTGAAAGCAACTCAATGCAATTGGTGACAAATTTCTGGTTGCTTCCCCTTTCAAGACAGGCGTGCTGTGGCCACTGACAGAATCCAGCAGTGCAGTTTCATTTTCACCAATGACCCAAAATTGAGTTGCTGGGGGAATGTTTGCCCTATTTAAAAAGGAGATTCATGATAAATGTGTGTATATTCATATAGTGAAATTGAAATGCATGAACACAAATCAGCATTTCCAGGAAAAAAGTCCCACTTGTCTTTTTTAAATAGATCTGTAATGAAAAACTGAATAAAAGCACAAAGGTTCAAGCTAAATCTAACCATGATGGACCACACCCATGAGGAAGGTAGCAACAGTGTCAGGACTGAATGGGAAGATGGCATTTTCCACTCTCTCAAAAGGAAAAAAGATTAAAATAATTTTCCTTTTGTTTTTTTTTGAAGAGTATAAATAGTTTCCTGTTCTTAGTTCCTACAATAAAGGTGCCCGGGATGACTAATAAGTCTAATATTGTTAAGATGAAAGCTTGGCAATGGAGATTGGGAGGGTAAATTAAGAATATGCATTTTCAGATCTCCTCACACTAAATGACTGAAAATGTCTCAGTTTTAAAACTTTCTTGATTTTAAAGCTTTTTTTAAGTTACATTAGCTATGGCATTTGACATTGCCATTGAAACAAAGCTCATTCTTTTAGTAGAAAGCTTATTTAAACAGGTACTTCCTGACAACAAAGAAATGTGGATTGATTTAAACGCTGGTAAAGTGCTGAGGCATTCACACTGGTATCCTACTAATTTCGGTAAACCCTCGTATAAACAAACACACATACTTGGATTTTCATTGCCATTCATTAAGCAGGTAACACTACAGGTAGGAACATGTAAATCTAGCCCAACTCATGCATTCTAACTTGACTCCTGGAAGCAATCACCCACTGTGACAAGGGCTTCCTCTACAGAAAGAAAAAAAAAAAAAGTTTTGTAATTGTTGTGTTTCTTTCACCCCTGGTTTTTCCCTTCTGCTTGTCACGTCTCAGTCACCCCTGTCTTAAGCTATAACCTCTCCAGGCTGTTAGACCATTCCCTGCAGCACTGAGAGCCCAAGCTGCAGTTGCCTATTACCAGGACTGAAGCATCAAGATTCATTTGCACCTCTGCAGTGATGCTCATACCTTAACTATCAGCTTCGGAACAGCTCAGGTCTCTCATGTAATTCAAAGGGCCATTATCTTGCCAGTTGTGGAGAACTCAGCTTGATAAACCAATTAGCCCTTTCTCTTTGTACTTGGAGAGAGAATACACTCCTTGCAAGCAAATCAATACATGAATTTGTTTGTTTTCTGGTTAGTTTATATTCAACATCGCAGGTAACTTTGTCTTGCTGAGTACTGCCTACAGATGTTTCTCAAGAAAATAACCAGAGTACACGTACTTAGAAAAATATTAGGAACAGGAGGGGTGGGGGAAAAAAAAGGACGTACTTCTCTGTAACTATACACACATGAAATGTGATCCTTCTGTGAGCTGTGTCTGTGTAGATGGAGCTGGTGACAATGACGATTCTGGTGAAGAAGGCAAACTTTTCACTGCGAGTCATACAGCAAAAGAAATAAGATAAATACAAAAAAATACCAGTTACAGAAGCCACAACAAATACAAGCTTGAAAATGGCCATTTCAAGCCGTTGTAAACATAAGCAGGGACTTAGTACACAAGCTACACAAGTAAAGACTTAAAATCTGATCAGCACAAAAAGCACAACATCAGGGGAGAGAATACTTGTTCTCAAGAAAGGTCATTTATCAGACTTAAAAATAACTAGTAGAACAAACACATGAATGCTGATGTGTTATTTATGTTGCAAAGAGAGAGAGAGGGGAAAAAAAAAAAAAAGTAAAATTTTAGTAGTTGGGATACTTTCCCAAACCCACCCTTATATCCCAACTCAGATTAACTAAGATGTTTTATTCTGCTGAGCACTACAAAATGTACACACGAGTTCTGGTTTTGATTATCAAGTCACAGAAAGGATTGCTGACTGTACTACAAAGGTCCAGATCACCTCTTATATCCATAAATTGAACCATTTGGCTTATTTAACCATTCCCATCAGCAAATAATCCTAATACTGTCTTAAATTCTATCTTCTTCCTGCCTCCTCCCCCATTCACTCCTCTCTTTCTCCCCCTCTTTGAATACATTTTGCTTTATTCCAGCCTTTTCTTCTTGCAAAGTAGTACACCACCAGTCATTGTACCACTGTTTTCTGTTTCTTCATCTTTTCTTACTCCTCAAAATGTGACCAAACTGGGGTCTTTTACTTGCTAGTTCAAAGTCTGCTAGATATACTGGAAACTCTTGAGGATTCCACAATCTTGGGCATATCTGAGGCCACTCAGTAGCAAGGAGCAATGGTAAAAAAATCTATGCATATCCAGATTGAGATGCTGTTCTACAAGATGAATAAGGAAGTGTTTGTTCCAACCAACAACTACAGTATGACTTAATTTCTGGCAACAGTTATTTAAACCCCTAAAATTAAATGCAACTGTAAGATCTACATTAAAACCTCAGAAAAATGGAATTTCTGTAGCTGTCCAGTGGGAAACTATTTTTCTCTACATTATAAAACTCTGCACTTGACATGTAGACTAGCTCAGCACTTTCAATCCACAAGGGTTTCAGAGCATCAAAGGACATAACCAAAATGAAATAAAGTTTTACATATGTACTGTGTAAGCTGTGCTTCAGTCCAAACTCTTTTTCCATACCTGCTGTTGCCTGATTTCCTTTTGAAGACTGTGCTGCTAATTCAAATGAAGACATAATCCCTTCTTGATCTCGAACGCTAACTACTTCACTTTCTTCTGAGCTGGTTTTGGGTTTGTGGTTTGTAACTGTGGTCACACTCTGCAAGCTGGTTAAAAAAAAAGCACAGCGTTTAGAACTCGCTCCAACTTAATTTCAGGTGTTAACCACTAAGTACAGGAGTTATCATTTAATTTTCTCCCGTTAACAGGGAAAAGTTGCAACTTGCAAGTCCGCGCAGAATAAATCGAGCACTCGTTTTGAAAGCCTCCTGCTTCGTGTAGCTACACTTAAAAAAAAAAAGGCACTCGAAATTTAATTCCTTTCCTTACATTCCTCCTGCAGTTTTCTGCTGCTGAAGGGTCCTGTGAGAAAGTTATGACCTAATGTAAGAACTCATTTAGGACCTGCAGTGCAACTCACACAGAAGTTATGGATCCTTAGAGAGAAATATCCAGGATGTAATATCCCTCTAATTCTGCAATGCTTCAAAATACTGAAGTAAAAATTAAAGCAGGAGATGTAAAATAAGTTGTTTAGTTTGCTCCTAAATACCAGCAGTAAAGAGCTTGCTATGGAAGCCCTGGCTGAAGTGTTCACAGTTATGAAATACATAACAAGGCCAAACAAGGATTATGAACATATTCCGTTTATCACTGGGGCAATACTTGAAAATAAACATTGTTTCACCCACCAACTCATCACCTCTTACTGACCCCCTGCAGCAGTTAAGCTTCTCACCAGATTTCCCTATATGTAAACCACTCAGAAACATATAAATCTACCTTTTCAGTATTTATGGCAGTTGCCTGGTCCATTCAGCTAATAAATAAAATGTGCAAGTTTAAAATAGCCTCTGAACATCTTGTTTTATTTTTACCTTATATCACCATCATGTGTTTCTTCCAATTTATTTTTCTTTTCTGCTTTCTCTTCATTACTCACTTCTTTTGAGTCAGATGCAACATGTGCATCTGATAAAAGATCATCAGTTTTTGACAGCTATAAAAAAATTGAAATCATGAAACAAAAAGCTGTAACACACACTAAGTGGCAGATAAGAAATACAGTACCAGGAAACAGTTTTATTAACAGACAAATTTTGCCATCATGTATACTTAGTTACTCAGAATTACATAACTTAAGAAATTTTTATCAATACCACTCAGGTTAATAGAGTTATCCTGAAACTTATACCAGAGTCAATGGGCAGGGCTTGACTAAATAACTTCCAGAACTTATCTGAACTCTTTGGATTGCAGCCTGCCTATTTCTCATGCTATCCATCTATTTACAGTGCCAACAGAGATTCCAGATACTGGAATATATTGCTGATAGGGCTGAATGCTGCCCTTAAAGGTCTGATTAGATATAGCCAATATTAGTGTATGACATAATTTTCCTTTAAAAGATTTACATGTTTAACAAAGGAACAGACTCTCAAGAGAAAGTGGGTTTGAAGAACAACAACAGAAGTTATTTGATTTTTACCATTCTCCATCAGAGATATGTTTATAAAAACTAAATATAAAATAGGAAAACGAAAGGAAAAGCGAGTGAGGAAAAGGAAAAGCAAAGGATGATTGAGGAATACAGGTACAGATGAAGAAAAAAACCTCTACACAATATTTTAAAAAATATTAAACTATAAGCAGGATGTGATTATGCAAAAACAACTCCAGTAATCTATTTCTCATAATCGGCCTGGTTTTGCTGAGGGTTCAGGGCACTTTAGCACCAGAAACACCAAGGTAATTCACTGCCAAGTGAGTTGGAAACTATTTCAAGACAGAAATCAAATCAGTGGCCAAACAGCACAAAGTACAGTTATTGCCTACTTCCATGTGTAAATTGTTGTGTCACCTTTATTCTGCTTTCTATAAACTATTTGATGCACTACAGCCAACCAAACAAAAATTCAGGTGTATTAAATGATTGTCAAAACCTTGGACAGTCTAAGCAATGAACAGAAATTTAAAAGCCATACACAAGAGAACTCAAGGTCTCAGCTGTAGGCAGATCTGATAAAATCTTGTGATTCTCTATAGAATACTGTATATACAAAAAGAAATCTTTATTTTCCAAGCAGAAGGAACTGGCTCAATTTCCCACACTCTGTTGTCTGTGGCTAAAAATATTTTTCTACTGCAAGACAGGGTGATGAACAGTTCAATAAGGGACAGTTCAGTACCTCTTTAGTAAAACCTGAATTATGTTCTTGTTCTCCATCATGCTTTAGTTGTGCTATTTCTTCTCCAGGACTTCCATTATTTTGTTTCAAATTATTTTCTCTACTGGTGCTCTCTAATTCCTTCATGTTACTATATACAGCATCATCCTTTTTTCGATTCTGTGGAACAAAATTGATATATAGACGTATTCTTACAAAAATTGTCACTGTCTCAGTTCTGAGTCTGATGGTGTTCTATGACTGTGTTAAAATATAATACTCAAAAAACCTTATGTGCACCACATTGCAATAAGGAAAATGGAAATTGTTAAGGACTTAGAATTTTCTCATTTTTGTACCATTTAAAACAGTTCAGCCTGACACTCCTTTGTCTGTAAGACTATTGTACTTCCTGTGCCCCCCCTTCATCCCCAGCATTTCAATGTCACCTTTATCTTCTGAAATTTTATTCATATTTAGCTCAGTCACACACAAGCTTAGTAGCATTCTTACTTGCATTCATAACCACTGTTCTTTTTATAAAACAGCTTTTCTTGGCTAAAAAAAAGAAAAAGGATAAAAATCTGCTTTCAGCACAAAATTCACGGTGCACCTGTGTGCACTTTCTCCAATTATCTTGGGTATCCTCCAAGCCTATGCTGTGAACTGATTTAATAAAGGACAACATAGCATTTGATAACGGTAGAGGATATTACTTATTCCTTAAAAAAAAATCCATTGCACAGAGAAGAAGTTGATATAAAATTTTTGTGGGAGGATGGTAGAGGTGGCTTAAGACTGTGAACTGTGAACATTATCTTGTCAGAGTAGCAAACTGAACTGAAGTGAGGTTCATCTTATCAAAGAACTGGGGCTGAGAAAAATGGGAGCCATAAAAGCAGTAAATCTTGAGGCTGAATTCCTGTGATTTTACACATGCACACTATTAAGAGGAAATCATGTAAGTCAGTCCATAAATCAATCTCTTTACTCTCCTAAATTAAAGTCTGCATCCTTATCATATGCTGTTCCCAATAACAATTGTGAAGCAACTTCCTTTTGTATTATGGTAATCACTTAAAAATTACACAGCAGGCCATTTATAAAATCCATTTTTTCCTACAATTCTTAAATAACCAAACCACAGACGAAAAGACTTCCAGCAGTTAATGCCGTTGCACCACTTTTCTAAAAATCAATAGACACAGAAACTATGCTTTCAAAAATAAAAACTATTACTACAGCATAATACCTCATCTTAGGGCTTTTTGCCAAATAGCATTGTAGAAGAATTAAAGCTGTGGTAGAAGAAGTGATTCCATAGCACAGACTACTAGCTAAATATTCAATTCAGACATCCTCTCACGTATTCTGTAAAGTTCTTATCATCCACAGAGCCCTGATTTCACACAGAAGGCTGAAGGACATGCTGACATGGACAATATTCTTTTGAGTTCTGGCACAGAGGATTTGGCCCCTTCCCCCACTGTGCTGGCTACCCACGTTATGACAGATGTAGCTGCAGCTTCCTCACCCTGAGGTAGGAAATGATACCACAGGAGAGTGGTAAAGCTTGAACACCTCCGTAAAAACTACCCAAGCAAGGTCTGCAGAGGTTTGCTTTGCACATCCTCTTCTCGAGAAAGGCAGTGCTCATCACAGAAGTATTTCTAGGAACTCCCTTCACATATAGCATTCATGATGTCAGCCCAGATACTGAGTGTCTTCTGGGGATCCAGTGTTCTTGAAGGAAAAGGAACTTTTGTGTAGCTCTGAAGGCAGCTTAGCATGCTCAGAGGGGAAAAAAACCCACTCAATCTGAAACTTATTTGGAAATATGTGACTGCTTAACACTACAATGCATTTAATCTGGTTTTGGAAAATTGGATGTTTAAACGCCTACAAAACAAAAAGGAAGGCATTTCCCTACCAGTGTAAAAAAAAATAAAATAAAAACCCTCAAATCAATAAACAGTGTGGTCTGAAGAAAAAAATATGCCAGAAGATTAAAACCTCAAATAAACAAAAAAACCCAACCCCATTAAGCTATTGAAAAAGAAAACTACTTCTCAGCAGTTAGAAACCAGTAGGCTGCCTAACATCCACTATCCTGAATCTGGATTTAGTTGGGCTCTTGCTTTTTGTTTGTTTGTTAGGGATTTTTTTTTTTTAGATAAATATTCAGGATAGTATTTCCTGGTTAATGGCAAGCACTCATAGCTTCCTTCTCTCTCCCTACCCTTTACCTTTGAATAAACTGTTAAGTAAAAGAAGCGAGTTTAAGAATGAGTGAAAACAAAAGTGCAAGTTCTATTTTTATGTATAATTTATGAGCTCAAAAACCACAGCAAAAGAGTACCAGTTAGAAGCCATGACCATAAATATACATTCCTACCTAAAAATGTTACAGATGTTTGAATATATTACTTTCAACATCAACTGAACCATGATTCTCCTTGATACTGCTTTTAGTCACAAACCTTGAAATTTCATGTTGTTTGCTAAATTTAAAAAAGAAAAAACCCTGACAAAACCCTGCTAACAAATATCACAAGGTATGTAGATTTGAACTATTTATTTTCCAAAAAGACAAAAGAAGTGTAAGCATGAAGATTGTGCTCTCCCTTTCTCTTGGGTCTGGCAGAGAACTGTGACTCCATACAAGCAGTCTCAAACAGACACCTCTGGTTTTTAACTGGACACATTAAAGCTTTTGATCAACGTGGGACCCACCTGTGCCAATCTGAATGGATTATCTCTGACACACGACAAACTCTGTGAAGGAGACTGGTCTGAAACGCCAATAATATTGAGTCCTTTCCTCTTTTCTCTCAGGCAAGCTTGCTGGTGTCTTTTTATTCTTTCCATCTGTTCCTCCACAGTCATTCGAGGCCGTGAGCTTTCTGCAAGACACAGCTGCTCCACTGCACTTCTTGGTCTTTCCTTAAATGGAAGAACATGTATATATGTGATTTAAAAAAACCCACGGTTTCCAACTTCAGAAGAGATCACCTAATGACTTACTAAAAACCAGAAAAATAGTGAGCAAATAAAGATCTCCTATATATGTGAAAAAAAGTACAAGAACCGATTATTATTAAATGAACACCAAATCTGAAAATAAAAGGAAGGAATGATTTGCTTTTTTAAGCAATAACATTGCCATCATCAATGATAAACATTAAGAGAACGGGTAGATGCTCTCTCAAAGCCATCCTCTCGAGCTAAAACAATTTACCAGACATTATACAACTGGCAAACACGAGTTATTTGACTGAGACAGAAACATAATTGAAATTTAACGATCCAGGACATTTATACCAGTTGATCTAATAGTGATTTCTGCCTTTTTATTTCAAGAAAAACTACAGCTGGGCATCATTTAACAGCAAGTGCAGGCTGAAACTAAGTGAATTTATCAGCACTTAAAAATCTGTAATTCTAAGCATTATATTTTTTCCAAAATAACAACCATCACTTTACCTACTTTCTTCTTGAAATTCACTGATTTACAGGCAGATCTGTACTTTGTATGAAAAATAAAAATCAACTTCAGGCTAATCAGCTGCATTCAGTACATTCAGAGTAACTGGTTTCACTGACAAAAACCGAAAAGTTCTTTCTCCAGTTAACATCCTGTGAGTTTTTCTCTCCTCTCCCCTTCTTCCTAAACTTCTCCTCTTCTATCTGTGCTGCAACTACGATAAGTTTTTCCTTTTACTACATATAAATGTCTGTCTTTAACCCACAGACTACAGAACTCTCTAATCTGAAATTTCAGGCCTATTACCTGCACGCTGCTTACTGTATCCTTATTTTTTGCCGCTTTAGGTGTTTCCCAAATCACTTTAGTAAGGAAATAAGTAAAAGTCAGCCCCAGAAGGCAAATACAAGTCCTTCAAAGTTTTAATCTAAGATCTTTCAACTCATGTCTCAACTTCAGCAGCTCAGTGGATTTATCATTATCCTTTAATTGTTGCCAAGTCCGAGTGTCTCCGTGCAGTTTAACATACACAACATTTACAATATTATCATCCTTTCTACAGATGTCTCCTTTAATTTAGTATATGATGCTTTAATAACAGTGATTTTTTTTTTTGCTAAGAAAATTAAAAAGATAACTTCAGAACTTAAACTTGGAAAGGTTGTACCACTGTCCATCAATGCTGGAAAGTTATTTTAAAGTACCGTTCTTAGATCTATCTTCTTGTTCTTCCTCAAAGTGACATAGGATGCTATTGTTGAAGACTCTGGTGTTGGTGATTTGGTTCTGGGTGGTACAACTCCCACAGGAAAATGTGAGCCTGCAAAACAGTAAAGCAAAACATACTAAGTGTTGTGCAAAACACCACTGAAACTGTTGATTTGTTTTCTATAAAACACATGTAGGGAACTCTTCCTCAAAAGACAGCAAGGATCTTAATGCCTAAACTATGTGTGTTTTAAGGAAAAATAGCCCCTGGCCTGAGGTTGCATGAACGGAACAAAACATGGGGAACAACTGCATGTGGCACAAGAGACTGCTGGTCATAAAAATAACAGTGAGAAACAGATAAATATTAGACAGCCCTCTGTGCAACTTCAGATGGTTCAGGGAGAATTCCAGGGAAGATGGCTGAGCTTCCCACCTCATGGATGGCCATACTGGGACTTTTTATGGAGCAGAGTTTGCAAAGCCAGCAAGATGCCCAGGTAACCCTACCAGTAATGTCACTTAAGGCCAGGCTTGCAAGATTGCAAAGCATCCAAATACAGAATTTAGCCAAAAGTGGGACCAAAGACAAAAAGTAATTAAGTGTGGGTTGCTTACTTGGGAAAGGGAGGGGGCAAGGCATTTGAGAAAGAACAGGCATGGAATAAGGGAGAGGAATAAAAAGGGGGCCAGCTTTGCATAAGGGGAATAAAAGGGGCCAGCTTTGCATAAGCAAGCTGCTTGTCAAGGTGCTTGTCTGGTCAAGGCCCATCCTTTAGCACTGCATAGTGTCCTTATTAGATTTTATTCTGTAAAGTATTTTCCATTTCCTATGTGGGTATGCTTTCCCTTCCACGCATGAGAGATGCCAGGGATCTTCAAGCCAGGTGAGCTTGTGAGTAGGAGACAGCTACAGAAGATCAGAGGTGTGGGAGCCAAAAATGGGAATCTCTCTGGGGCTGGGCTACCACAGAGACCCTATGTCTGGACCTGCCAGCAGGGTGAAGCTTTTGTCTGTGAGATCCTAAAGAACTTAAGGCCAGAGCAGATGGCAAGCAGAACACACGGTGTGGGAGCCAGCAGCTCAAGAGACCTCAAGTCTAGGATGTAGAAACTGGAGAGGCCAGAGGTACTGAGAGTTAAATGAAGATGCCACAAGTCCAGCAGCTCCTGGGTGGACTCACTTGTGTGTGTGTGCACACATGTGCTCATGTCTATATGTGTATGAGATCAGCTGGTGAGCTCTGAGCATGGTCAGCTGGTGAGACAAATCATTTCTGTGTCCCGATGCCTGCTGCATTCAGCTTCTCCTAACCATCTTCACCATCAGTTTTGCTACCTAGAGAAGCCCTGCCAAAATGTAATTAGGCTGGTGGAAAACTGAAGTATGTTAAAATTTACAAAATATACAGGTTTAATTAAGTAACTCTTCCTTTTTGCTTCTTTATACACGCAGGAAATAAAACTATGAAAAATATTGTTTCCTTGATGATTTTGCCTGAAAAACTAGGTATGACTTCTTGAACAATCAAATTATTTCTACTTGCTTTTCCTGAGGTTTCACAGATTTTAGAGGATATATTGATTCAGTGAAGGGTCATCTCTTTCTCCAAATAGTTTGGGTCTCCTTTAGACATAAAAAGGATAAAACATAGCAGAAGTTCATTTTGTTTTTGTGTCATGTTTATGTAGTACACAGGCCATAAGTACTCCTATGGTCTCAGACAGATGTAAGGATTACTTCACATAGTCCCATTAAAACATTTTTCCTTATTTGCTGATGTTCAAAAAGAGAGGGAAGACTGACATGAGAATTGTTTAGCACAGTAATGTGCACAATGAGCTAGAAAAACATTTTAAAATTTTCTCTGAAATTTGTTTTTAGAACCACTTTCAAAAAGCAACTACATCATTTAGGTGTAACTTCTTAAAAAAGCCAGAAAGAAAAAATGCAGAAGTTGAGCTGCCTTTGAGTTTGTTTCCTTTTCAGTTTAAAAACTGCTAAGACAGAAAGGCATAAAAATGTTTGTTGAAATGGCATATACACTCTAAAAACAGACAAACAATCAGAAATGGTTAGATTTTTTCCTGCTGCAAGGGGACTGTTATTGTGAGTAAATGCCCAGAACAAGAAATATCTGTTAGAAAATTCATATGCTCAAGTGTGTGCACTGGATGATAAAACACAGATATGATAAAGAACAGAATGAAGTGAGTTTAAGAATATAGAAAGCCTCTCACTGCAGCTATTCTGTCCCCTACCCCTAAATATTATTTATATTAGAGGAATTTTTATTATTGCTTTCCCTGCCTGTTTTTCTACAAATGGACATAATAACATTATTTCTGTCTTTAGGACAGAAAGCAGATTGGGGTGCTCAAAAAGTACTGGGTTTCTTTACATGGTCAGTGTAGGCTTTGTTATTTTATCTTGATCATTACTTTATCTCTTGTCATAAATTACTATGAGTATTCTGGTACATCACAGGACAATAAAACCTAGGCATGTTTTCAGAAAGACAAGCTCCTCAACTTAAGTGGTTGATGATTAGCAAATCTCAGGCTAAACCTTGCATTTTTTTTCCACCAAGTTAACAGAAATTTAATATATATCTTAACGTTATATCTCAGCAAATACCACAGTGAATCTGAACTAATTGTCTGGTAAGTGCAAGCTTAAATTAGGTCATAGGGCCGCTCAAATTGTTTATACCCAAACTATGCTAACCTTAGTTTTAGAAGCCTCCATTTACCATTCTGATGGAAAAAATATCCCTGTATGATTATAACTCTTGATAAAATTCTGGTACCATTGCACCAGCCTGCTCTGTTAACACTGAGTCAAACTACCAAAACAAGAGGCAGTGATCCTGCTGGCACTGGAAACATCAATCCTTGCAGTAAGAAAACCCCTAAATTTAGTTACTTTCTCTCAAAGCTCTTAATATGGTTTTTGGGAGGTGGTAAAGCTGAGCATTTTGCTGAAGTCACCTTTAACAAACTATTCTGTGTGTTTTAACAAACAGAATTGAGAAACACTTCCTGGTAAAAGACTCTACCAAGCAATTAGTAGCTTTTATGGAAGCTAGATGAAGAGAAGAATCTAAAGCATTTAGCAATTGCAAAGACCTTTATTGTCTGTACACTCCAAGGTCATGATCATTATTCCTATTATATCAGAGGACAGAAGGCAATTCAACAATTACAAGATTAAAAAAAAAGAAAAAGACATTGTTTCCCTGCCTTATGAGAGCCTGAAAATTCTGTGGTGCTGCCTTTTTGGACGTTCCAGCGACATAACATCGGGAGCTTGATTCAAAAACTGAGTAATTGTTCAAGGGCAAGAACATAAAATGGGTAATTGTTCAAGGGAATGGTGTGTGGGGAATGTGAGTGATGTGATTAGACATGGTGTCAATAAGGATTTCAGGGTTGTTGGTGAGTGTAATGTTTGATTTTTCTGCGGTGTAATTGACTGAAATCTTTCTCGTCATATAATTAAATCATTATTTTATTGTGGAAGCTGTTCCATCAAACGGACAGGCTGCAGAGATCCAAACCATGATGCAGCCTCTGTAACACAGTTAAGCTCTGTATTCCTTGTGGAAAAAACTGAAAGGTTGTAAACACCGCACCCGGGGACAAACCTTTAGCAGTAGATTCTGATTCTGACATTTGTTCTGTTTTTTCTTCACCATTAGACTCATCTACTTCTGCTACTGTAGTTAACTCCGGTTCGCTCTTATAAAGCCTATAGTCAGGACCCTGAGGAACATCAAGTTATGAGGTAAATAAACAGGCATTCTTGTACAAGCATTCATGTCTTAAGACTCAAACCAGTTGTTCTGTGGTGACTCTGCTCTCACTTTAAGACAGTGTTCCATTGTTCAAGTGCTATTACAGAAGTATTTCTTTGTTGTCAATTTGAGTAACATTTGCAGACGTTCAGAAATCACAGGAAAAAACTGCCATGAGAATGCAGAGTTGTGGGGGTTTTTAATGATCTTCCTGAAATAAACTGGTATAAGCTTCAAAAACCGAGCCCACGTTTTTTTTAAGAACTAGTGAGGAGAAGAATCTTAATTTTCTGAAATGTACTCAGGTGCAAAAATTTAAGTCTTAAGACATTTTATATATGCACAGAACATATGACAGGAAAATGTGAAAAGCAAATGATGGGGCCGTAAATAAAACTAAGTAAACAAAAGTAGAACCATAACACAAAAGTAGAACCATAACACAAAAATAAAACCATAACACGAAAAGTAGCTGGATGAGTAAATAAAAACTGTGACAGCGCAGAGGAAGGAGGATGCTTCAAGAACAACGTGGCAGTTTAAGCCACTTACACAGTAAGATCCATTTCTCTGATATCCTTGAACTTGGTAAATCTTCTTTTCTTCTGTCAGATGTACTGGGCCCCTGCTATAACAGAGCAAGGAGCTGCTATCACTGGGCAGAGGGGGGATTATGGGAGGATGCTCTGTAAAGTCATAGGACCGAGGGAGTGGAGGACGAGGTGGGACTACTTCCTCTTCCTAAAGATTGTAGAATAGTCACCTTATTTAGATGTGCACACCTGTTACAATTATTTATAACTTAAAAAAGAAAAATATATTACCATGGCTACACCAGCTATAAATTTTGGAATTAAAGGGACAATGTCACATTTAAAAAAAAAAGAAAAAAAAAAAGAAATTCTAACACCTGCACTTTCTGTTGGACATGAACTCTCAAGAACTCTCTAAATCATCCTTTTAAAAATTAAATTAATTATATTTTTAAAGATTTTTACATGAAGAGACTTTTAGAAGGTTCTGTAAGTCAAATGTATTTTGCATATACTTTAGATAACCATGACAATGTCCCTTTAAAACGGTAACTTCCAGCCAGATTTTCAGAGGACTTGAACATCTGGGAGCTCCCACAGTTTCAGCTCTTCTTGTGGGTGCTCTGGCCACCTGAGAACCCGGCTCGATATTTGAACAGACATATAAAGCAATCTATTTTTTCCCATGAGAAATGTGGTGGGTAGAAAACAAATCCATAAATCGGGGTTTATATTTCTACAGTAACAGCCTAAGGAGAGGAAAAGGTGAGAAATGGAAAAGAGAAACACAGCAGTGAGAATATAAAGACAGAACAAATGAAAGTGTTAGAATTACTAGTGGAGTTATCAGTTTTTAAAATTAGTTCATAAAGCAATATTTTCACAGAAACATACTGAATACATAGTTCAGCCATCCTTAAAATATTTAAGATGTTTATTTTTGTCATAGCTATGTTACAAATTCAGTGATGCTAAAATAGTAAATATGCTAAAACCATACCTCATTTTTATATTTAATGGATGAAAATGTTCTTGAAACCATGATGCCTGTTTGAGGGAAGGGGGAAAGGTGTAGAAAAACAAAGAGAAAAAATGTTTTCAATACACAGCTTTTAAAATAGGAACTACAACCTGTTGCTATCAAATTACAAAAAGCATCAAATTAAAACAGATGATTTCTTTTCCTTTTTTTCTCAGTAACTGTACAACATTTTCAAACATACAAAAACAACGATGGAGCTTTAGTTTAAAAATGTATGTGATCCAATTTCATTTCCTGTGAGATAAAAATAATCAGTTTACCTGCCTCTGAAGAGCTTCTTTGCTGTTTATGTTTAAGTAAACCCTCCATGACATCTTGAATTCTCCACAGTTCCTTCTGAATCTGAGCACGCTGTATCCCTGCTGACTCAGTCTGTGAGTAAACAGCATACATGGGCAGTACATTAGAATACCTTGCAAGTGGAAAAAAAAAAGGGAAAACCTTCTTCTTTCTTTGGACTACACTGCATAGCCTTTCATGATGAAGGAAAATAAAATACAGTAATAAAGTCCCATAAAAGTGGCACATGCAAATATTGCCCAGAATAAAAAGTATGATTAACTAATTTCAAAATGCACTGGTTAATCTGACAGCAATCTGCCAGTTCAAATTTCACTTAAAGAACTGAATAGTATTGACTGTGTCCAAAGAAAAATCCAAGCAAACTTTGCACAGGAGACCAATGTACAACAATAGAAAAGGAACCATCAGTTGCAATCTCAAAACAGGTGGAGATGAGCATCACTGAAACAGAAAGAGGAAGCTTCCAGACACAGGAAAAACAGTGCTATAGCTTCAAAAAAATGGGAAAAGCTGAAGATTTTCTTCAGAACTTACAAGGCATAAAAATAAATTACAAGTTTGTAAGTAAATGCACCACATGGCCACCTTTTTTCATAGATACAGTTTTTAAACTCATAGAAAATCCAAGTGAATTAAGTGTACTTTAAGCTCTATGCCACACCTGAATTTCTCCAAGCCGATCAAGTTGCTCCTGCATATGGTTCCTTGTTACAGTTACATCATACTCCAATTTATCATATTCTCTCCAAGCTCTTTCCAGTTCCTAAGTATGTACAAAAGTAAAGAATTACAGATGCATATTTAAGTTACAAAAAACAAACTAACAAAAAACCCCAAATAAACCCCAAACAAACAATTTTTTTTTTCTTTTTCCAGTGGCAGGAGACTCCAAGAAGCAATGCATAAATAGATAGCAGCAATAAATAAAGATGTAATTTAGAGAATGCGATGTTTAAACAGCTTTTTGATTTTCTAATGATACCAAATGGAATTCAAACAAACAGCATTTTGTCTTTTCACAAACAAAAAGGATAAGCAAGGGGAAATTCTTCAGAACACGTCTTTCTAGTCAGCAGGCATGTGGGTCTTAAGCTGTCTCTCCACTGAGGCAGAAAACTCACAAAAATGGATGCAAATTTGTGTCTTTTATCACACAGAATACACATGTGTGAGTGCACAGCATGTGTGTGCATATGCAATGCATTATGCAGGACAAATGTAAGTCATCCAACCCTGCCTGTGAGTGCCCCAGGCCTACCAATACACCGCTGTTTTACGTGAGTGAAACTACAATCACCAGAAGGAAAAGGTGGAATAAAAAAACATAATAAAAAAAATTCTTCCTTGAGGTCAGCTCTACCATCTCGCTTTTGCAGCCTACATCAAGCAATTCACTCAATTTAGCATAAATTAAAAAGTTAATGAGGGAAAGCGTATCTTGAGGATTTCCTTTCCCCTGGTTCCCCTTCTCCTTGTCCAACCAATTCCTTTTAGAGACAGTCTAACATTCAGATTAAAACCAACCTACATGGTATCAATTTCACCACAGCTCACCACTGGAATTTGACACTGAAATATCTTACTGGATATATATGTCAGTAGAGAAAAATGACTCTTTGCCCTGTCATTTCAGTGTAGAAACCATCACAAAGTGGAAAAGGACAGCAGACGGCATTTTCCTTCCTTTTTTTTTTTTTAAAGTTTTTGAAAGTGCATAGCTTTAAAAATCTTTTAAATACAACAGCCCACTATTAAGAGAGACCATGATCTTTTCTTCTTTTCATCCAGCAGCTGCTTTTGCTTAAAATAAGTCACCCGTCTGCTTGAATAAAGTTTGTTTGCCACTATACACAAAGTAGTTTATTTGCATTATTTACTTCATCAAATTTTCGCATTATAAAGATAATTACCACACCAATAAAAAAAATTACCATCCAAAAAAAAAGTAAGGAAAAAAAAAAAAGACTGCTCAATGAATGCAGGGAAAAGATCACTTTCCATCTGCCTTTGGCAAAAACACAGACAGAGTAAAAGACAACTGATTTTTGCTGGAATGCGATAAAAACTAAAGCACAGACAAGCCAATTAAGGATATGAACGTAATCATTTCACACTTGGAAGGTGTTACTTACTGCAGTGGCTCGTGATACTTCTCGACAAGTGCTAAGGAGTCCGTTCTGCAAGTCATCTCTCTGCAAGACTACATTTTGTATGGCTGCGGGATTATCTGCATTCATTTCTATCTCCTGACTTGCTGATAGCAAAGCTTGCTCAAGCGTGTACTATTGTAATAAAAAGAATTATTTTTAATGTTCTGCATCATTGGGTTGATTTTCGTTTTATTTCAGTTATCAATGTTCTGATAATAAGCATGTAAAATAACATCCACTTTAGGTAATAAATACAATTGTCCTACTTTCTCCTTGTGTAGCTGTTGAAGCTTCTCCTCCAGTGCTTGCACAACTTTATCCTGTTCACATAAACGGCTAAGCTTAGCCTAGTGTAGAACACAAAATTATCACAGTTAGAATTTTGTTATTTACATCTTCAGTAATCAAAATGTAACTTGATTGAATCATTACATGAATCTATATAAAATGTTATTAAAACAAAATATGAATTCTAAAATTACAAAGGCATCAGTCTTACATTTTCAAATTACTTAAGAAACCCTATCAAGAAACTATGAAATAAGTGTTATTATAACTTAAGAGACAGCACAGTTTAAAACATGCAATTTATGATTCTACAGCTAAATCTTTACAACTTAATAACAGGTATTAAATACCACTTTAATTTATATATTACTTAGTATTATAAAGACTATTGTACACGTTCACAGCCTGTCCCATGGTTTTTCAGGTGATAGCTTCCCATATTTCCATACTAATACTACTCATATCCTCCTCTGATTTAGCTCCCATCGAGGCTTGGCTATGACTAAAACTGTTTCACTCCAGCTCCACTTTGAGCAAGTAACTGCTCAGTGCACTCTAACCAATTTAAAACAGCTTACTTTTCTATCTGAACAACCTTTTTGGTTCAGTTTGTGCTACTTTGGCTTTTCTTTTTCACTCTTAAAATAACGTCTCTTAAATCATTATGTCTACTCTTAGTTGCACTGTGCAAGAATGACTAGATGTGCATCTATGTACGCATATAGAGTATGACTATGTGTGCATTTTTCACCACCAATTTTACACCAGTCCCCTTTTCTTTAGTAACTAACAACCCAATACTCTGAATGGTAACTACCTGTGCCAAATTTCAGTTTTGGTGTCTCCATCATATTTCCAGAGAAATTACATTTCTCATGCTTATAACTGAACTACTACTACAGTTTTTCACTGGTAAAGTAATTAATTCCTTTCTAGAAGATATTCACCTTTGAACAGCTGTAATACTTGAAATTTCAGCCTACAATGTAATGTTTCCTGCAGTTAGAAGCTTATTACAAAAAGATTCTCATGTCCCTCAAATTAACAATGCGAATTCTGTTGACAATCCCCTATATGAAATGGGTTTCAAACACAGAAGTCAAGGGGGAAATTATTATCAAAATAAAGAGACAAATACCAACATTTCCAAGGAGGAAGAAACACAAATGACTTACATCAATATCCAGCTCTTCAGTTCTATATTTGTATAGTGTACCCCTACATTCTTCTTGTGTTAACTATAAGGAAGAATAATATTGCCATAAAACAACTTAATTGGACTGTGAAAATGAAACAACTGTTCAGCTTAAGAGTTTTAACACAGAAATCAGCTTTTGCTTAAAAGTCAAACATACCACATCGAACAATATATTTTTAGCCAGTATATATTAATGAAGGTAAGTAAATGGAATGTCAAGCAGACGATCAGTAGAAAGTTGCATTAACTTAACAGGCTACATTTCTAATGCAAACTGGAGTTTTAAAGGTGTGCAACTACCTCAAACAAACATGGATAATGTGGGAAGATGAAACTGCCAGAGTAAACCTAGGCACAGTTATACATCATCATTTAAGTTTTGTTATGTGAACTCTAAATACAGGGACTCATTCTACTTGGAATTAATCATTCTAGGCCCACTGAGGTCAGGTGTTTCCCCAAGGAGCATATTCTGATGTGACTATGAAACCAGAACAGAATGACCTAAGTTTACAACATATATGTAAAATATCTTGCTATTGATATGCCAACTAAGTGCCAATGAATACCTTCTGACTACTGTTTCATAGGGATTCTCTCCCATCCAACGAGAGTATTACCAGAAATGCCATAAATAGAAGGCCTTCTATTTTAGCTTTGGACTTAGGCAAACTTGCCTTCTCCTGCCAGTTAGGATGCAAAGTATCCTCAAACTACTTTCATACAGCTCCACACATGAAGTTCTAAACTCTTTCAAGTCTGTTACTTGACAAGTAACGAGATTTTAAAACATTTTTACAAGAGAAAAAGGTAGCTCCCCATTTTAGAATGGACTGACACACACAGTAACTACTTAATATCCTATACAGCAAGCATGGATATAACACTATCAACTTTCCTATCAATTTAATTAAAAACACTGAGTCCCAACATAGATGCTTTCCTTCCATGTGTCTGTCATAATTAGGTCATAATGAGTTAACAGTACAAGAAAGACTATAATAACACAAGCCCATGTTAGGGGACACTTATAAATAAAAGGACTAGGGAAGGGTTAATGAGACAAGCATTCCAAACATAAAATAAATCTTCAACACACTAAAGTGTTTCATTTCAAGATATTATGTCCACATACCTCATGCAAATGCACCTGGTGACAATTTAAAAGTATGTATAGTGTATTAAAACCACACAATAACTTTCTTTGAAATGGACATTTTATGAAAATGAATGTGGGACTATGAAAAAAGCCACAGCACTTTTGCACCTCATGAATGTCACACAAATTAAGATATCTATTTAAACTCCTACTATGGTAGAGTTTTGTTGTTTTACTGTCGATTTTAATCACAATGAGAGAAAAATGAGGAATGGAAATATTCAAATAAAACTCATAAACATGGCCAAATGTCTTTAACTCACTGAGAAAACCTAGTTATATTTCACAACAGAAAGATTCTCACAAAAGAAAGATTATCCCCTATTAGATAAATACTGCTTCCCAACTCACTGCTCAGCATTTTATGTGGCCAGGCTGGAAAAATGTAATACTGTTTTTTCGAGTCAGTATTTTTATACTTTCTTTAAAAAGAGAGACGTTTATTTTTTTTGGCATTTCAACCTTAATTATAACTGAGTTTAAAACAGTTTGCCAATTCAGCATCCTTATCCCTACGTACCTCCTGAGAGGGATGTATCTTAAGTACTCAGAAAACGAAAGCACATTTCCAAAGAACACTATACACGTGCTAATTCTTCTTATTAAAATCTCATGACACTTTTTAAAATTGCTGCCAACTTCTTGCTTTTGTCAGCAGTACCAGTTCCCCACAACAGGCACTGCTGGAGAGTCACTTCATTTCAACATTTCTACTGCAACATTTTACATAGACTTGGGGTAAAAACTCCAAAAATAATACGAATAACTTAATCCATCTCTGACAGAACAGCAGCTTCACTTTTCACAGCACATCAATAAATCCACTCAAGGCAAAAAGTGCAGAATGCTATCACATCCTACTGGAATTACAGGAGGAACTGCAGCAGACAAAACGCAATTACACATCTCAAGCGAGGTTAACAACCTCATAACCCTGGAAAACGCATTATAAGAGCTCCGATGACCGAGTTATCAAAATGTACTTTCTGTCACGTTCCACAAACGCCTTTTCTTCGCCAAATCGCTCCCACAAACCCTGTGCCGGGACAGTAATTTCAGAGCAAGAGTGCCACCTACTGAACCAGCGACGTGACTTGCTGCTGACTTCGCTTTCCCTCCACATTTGCCTGCTTAAACCACACCAAAGCCCATTCCTCTCACTGCACAATTCCCAAACACCAGGGAGCAGCACCCTGACTCCTACAAATAGAACTTACCATTTTTGGGAGGTAAACTGCTCACGCAGAGTTTGGCCAAACGTGGACCTCGCACGTGAAAAAGTGACATGACCTTAACTGAACCTTCATCTTAGGTTAGAAACAATTTGTTTTAAACTGTACAGTCCCACTGGACAGTCCCCATCTCCATCAGACACCAACACCAGATGAATCACAGGAGCGGATAATTCACGTGCTTCAGAAATGAGGGGTTAAACCTATTTAAGTTGTCAATATTAAAAACATTTCAGTGACAGTGTTATTTCATTACCTTATGAGCTATTTTCAGATTCCACTAATGGTTTTGATTCAATAAATATATGGCAAGGAAATTTCACACCCCAAAACCACACTACACAGCTCTGCACTTAGGAAATTAAAACAGGACAGTCTGGGGCATTTTTTGAAATTAAAGTCAAGACTTCCAAGAGGAGCTTTTTTTTTTTCTTTTTAAAATACTTCTTGCTACCAGGAAGCAGGGCAAATGGATACTTAGCCCCCAGTAAGCAAGGTTCTCCTCTAATTCTGAATAATGTTGTCATATAACATGTTCAAATTGGAAAAAAGAAGATTTTTAGCTCAAACACGATCATCTCCTGTTCGTAACAAAACCTGAAAAATATTTCTGCCTACAAATCTCAAAATCTAACAAGTGTAATAGTTTAAATGTATGCAGCTGTGATAATGATAATAATATGCCATAAACAACATCTCCCCATCCTTATAGGAGCAAAAAAATCACAGGCTACTTTTTCTCTGGTTTTAATGTATTAGGAACAATTATCCATGGAAAGACCTGGATGTTAGCTTGTTGCACTCAAGATTTTAACTTTTCTCCCTTCAGGGAACTCACACATATAAGAATAATTGAGGAAAATTTTACTTTTTTAAATCAGCCTATGTTGCTTTAGAAAACAAGATTAACACTCCTCACCTAGCATTAGAAATAAAACCAAACAAGGCAGAAATGGGTCCAGTCTGTAAAAAGTGTCTTTTTTTTTCCTTGTCTGTATACATGGAATCATCTTCCTGGCTTGTATTGTGAATTTGCAGTACAGTCTGTAGAGCAGACTGATGTAAGTCAAAGTGATTTAAATAACTGTGAAGATGTAACAAATCACAAACAAAAATGCCTTATAAATAACACATTTGAAATAGCAGATATTTTTGCTATTTTACTAAAGAACCATTAATCATTACAAACAAACAAGAAGCAAGGCATTTTAATTTTTTAGTTAAGTACAAGCTTTTCTTGCTTTCCTTTGCTTAATTCTAAATAAGCTCAGTCATAAAACTGAACTGAACAAACTGAAGCTAATAAAGATCCTCTTCTTTATCAGCAGGAATGGTTACAGTCATCAGAAACTAGTTTATCATCTTGACAACAGAACAGGTTTCAGTCACTTGCACAGAGGCTTCTCCCAGTTGTTTAACAACTCGTTAAAACTGCAGCAGGAAAGGTGACTGTTAAACCAATTTATTTGATTTGAATAAAAAACCCGCACATCTGTTTAGACTTTAAATAAGCTGCCAGAATTTTAAACAGGTTAGTTTTGCATTACAGAAGTTCAGAAGACTATTTAGGCAGTGAAATTTTGAGCGTGTTTTTTATCCTTTCCTGGAAGTAAGTTAATGTAGTATCCCACAGAGGAAATTTCATCCATGAAAGCAAAAGATTTTGTCACTCTACAGTTTAGGCAACACGTGGGTTCCTTCCACACAAGGCTGCAAACACCCTGACCTGAAGAGACCACATCTCTAGTGACAACAGGTTATTCAGTCTTCACGACCTGTTAGCGTTTCTTTGACAAGAACGTCAAAAAAGGTGTTTATTCAGTGTCAAAGACAAAGCAGCAGCTGTGCTGATAAGGTGAAGGCAGTGCTGTGCAGCACAGCTTCCTCAGGGTAGCACTTGGAAATTTACTGGTATCCCTAAATACCTGAGCAGATTAGCCCAGGCACAGCTATACCTCAAACATGTCTATATTAATATTAGAAGCCTGAGCCAGTTTATCCTGACACATCTAAACCAGCTCTGTTCGTTATACGTACGTCGACTTGTCTTACATACTCTATCAGAGAAAACTGATCCACTTTAAAAAAAACTGCAACCCCTAGGCTTCTTTAAAATAATACAACAGAAACTCCAAAATTTAATTTAGGGCTTGAGGGCACCTTACTTCTCCCATTCCTCTCCAAGCAGTTCCTTCAGGTTCCATGCTAAAGATCCCGTTTTGCACAGAGAAGCACAACGTGGACGATGATGAAATCAGTCACTCACAACTCAACTTCCTCTGGAAAGCTGAGATTTTTTTTTTTTTTTTGCAACTTTTCTGGATCAGAAGCAAATTTATAATGTGGAGTTGATTTTTAAAAAAAATGAAACGCAGTTAAGCTGCGGAAATTTTTAGAAACGTGGCAAAGCCTTAATCACTAATAAGTGACAGTTTTACGTGGCAGAACATCTCCTTTTCTTCAAGTTACACAACCTTTATATGCAATTTTGGCTCACAAGAGCATAAATGTAAATGCAATGCAACTTGTCAGATATCCCTTGTAAGAAAAACATCTTTGTTGTATTTGTGGCAAGAAACTTCTTGAACATCCCCTGATGTGCCAGGGACTATTCAGTTAAGCCCCAGCATCCCTAAGACACTGCGGTGCCAACAGATATGATTGGCCATGCTCATAAGTTAATGCAGGTCTCAACTCACAGACAATATTTCCATTCACATTTCTGGTTCTTCTTCCATCTTACCATTTACAACCATCACTAGTTACTCAGTAAGTGTGCACAGTTAAGTCTGCTGTGACTTTATGAACAGACACTGCCTTTTGGATTTACAGTCCCCAGATCAAAGTAATTTTGATCCTTCCTTTCTTCAGTGGCTAAAGGCTGGGTAGGTGCAAACAAAAACTTGTAAATCCACTTCCTAGAACGAAACAAAATTGCCAGAGATGACCAGGTAAACACCACTCACATGCTTTTGTAGTGGTCAAAAAGAAAGAAGCACCTTTGAACACTAATTGCAGAGAATCATGCTAAGACAAATGTTGGAAGCTCATTGGAAGGTTTATGAATTTACTGGACACCTGCATAAAGCATCAACTAATTAAATCGTCTAGACAGAAAAAAGTTGTTCAAAAGTGTACATTTAATACTAAACAACAAAAACGCAGCAGAAGCCATGCTAACAATATTGCAGCATTGTATAAAGCATGGATGACTTGTGGTTTTCCAAAGCAAAGAAGAGAAACACCAATGTCATGAATAAATCTGAGGAACAACCAAAACTGTCACTAAGGAAAATTTTCGCAGATGATAAAGCAAATTTCATTCACTATCCAAGACCTTACTTGCTGGTACAGTTGCGGTCTTAGCGCCGAGTTCTCAATCATAGTGTGAACCAAGGTGATTAAAGGTTCATTCTCTTTCATCTATTTCAAATCAGGAGGAGCATACAGCAAACATCAGTTTACAGCATGGCTAGATTTGAAAGACGACACTGTAAAATATAGCCTCTACTTTAATTTTTTTCTAATAATGCAGCAGATTACATTTTAACCCATGCTTTTTATATATTCCATCATTCAGTAATAGCAACATCTGGAAAGTTTAGTAATATCAAACAAATATATCAAAATCACAGAAATGATCAGAACCAATGCAATATTTATTCACCAAGGCTCTCCCTTTTTAAAAATAAAAATGCTTAAGATAAGTTTGGCTTTGCACGATATTGAAATGGAAAGTATTATCAGATTTTGCAATAGGAACACTCAAACCTTTATCAAAAACCTTTTAAATTATAGATTTAATAACTCAATGTACATTAAAAAGATATAAGCATCCCCAGCCTGTGAATATTGAAGTGAGGTTCAGGCTCATGTTCACGTATCAAACAATGCCTTTATATACTGCACTGATTTATATCCTTAGGGACTTTGAACCATTGCCTGTTGCATTTATCCACCCCCATATACAGGTGTGAAATCATTTTGGAACTGGTCAGACAGTTTCTATAGTGATTAGTATTTTTGATATGGGTGCAAATGCCAAAACCAGATGCTTTATTACACATTGCATACATTTAGGATTCCAGAAAAGTGTGCAACAGAAAATAGTATGGGCCTTTCGGTTTTAGAAAGGAGGCTTTCCTAACAGTAAGGGAGAAATTATGAGAACAGGTGGTTTTCTTCTCCAAAAGAAACTCAAAAGTCACTTAATGCATAATCCTATTTTTGCTGGAAACTTTAGGACCTGTTGGAAACTCGAGGAATACCTGTTTCGAGTACGGTTGGTTACACAGGAAGTGTGTGAAGGAATATTTATGATCCTTCACTCTGTATGTGTATATATACACACTCCCCACGAAATTACAAAGCAATTTTGTTTCACGGACTGAAATGCCACAGAATGAGTTTTTAATGCCTTTTGAAACTTCTTGCTCCTATTTATTTAGGGAAAAAACCTAACTTGTACGTTTGGAGAAGTAGGGGTTTTTTCTCCTCACAGGAAACATATTTTCTTGTCATAGATAGAGGACCTTTTTGTTGTTGTTGTTGTTGTTTTTTACACATAGTAAAGTCTGCTCAGCTGATGAGTTAATCAGCCAATGCAGAATACCTTAAGAAGGCAAGCTTATGATGATGCTCTGTTTGTTCAAGGCAGGAAAAACACTAAACAAGCAACCCCTACCATTTGCTCCATCATCTATAGCACACATACACAGAAAACTAGAACTGACCCAAGAAGTTGTTCTCCCCTTATATTAAAATTTTGTTCAGAGATTGGGTGCAATAGGTGATCTCAAAAGAGATCTCAACAGTAAGATTAACAGTAGGGTCCAAAGCTGAGAAATCAAACTACAGCCAACTTAAATAACTGTAAAAGAAAAATTACTCTGAGGTTCAGATATTTTATTAGGAGATACAGGTTTGGATGCATTTTTATTAGGAGGATTTCAACAGCTTCAATACTCTCTAGCTAATATTTTTTTACAATATTTCAAATTTTTCCTTTCTGATCAATAACAGTCAAGGCCAGAATTCATTTCTGTTGAACTGTTCAAAGACTGTTTACATCCAGATTAGAAAATAAGCAAAGTGGATTTGCTCAAAAGACATTTTGAAGTAATGTTCTGTCCTCCAGACAGCTCCAACTTTGATTTATAGCACTTCTTCCAATATCTTTACTACCATTTGTGCTTAACTATTCTTATCTAACACTATTTGCAAAGGCCACTTATATCCAAAAAAACCACAGTTCCCTGAGCCCTTGTGGAACAAAAAACAAAAACCAGGTAATGGGTGAAGTAGTGCCAACTAAAGAGCCTTTGTAGCAGTCAAATACAGCAAGTGTTTTTCCCCTTTAGGAAATAATGTTTCCAAAAAATACTGACTATCAACTGTTGAGAAATTCAGACCTTGAGGGAGCATCTCAAATCTTCCAAGAAAAACACAGAGGCAGGGCGTGCTCAAGAACTGGCAAAGTAAACCAGAGTTACATGGGACACAATGGCAAGTCCCATGCTCTAAAAGGTAAGGAGAATACCTATTTTGTGTTCTTCAAGCATTATCATAAACCTACTCCCAAACTGAAGCTATTTATTCACATTGAATAAATAGCTCAAGGTAAAATAATTGCTTGTTCGTAACAGAAGCAAGCCTTGATTCTCATTCATTTCAGAAAAAAATATTATTTTTGTACAAAGGACAGATTTAGCTCCTACATGTAATATTATTATACTCATAAAAATATTATACTCTCTCCAATTAAAGAAGTCACAAAAATTGGAATTAATAGATTTCCATAAGCAAACCAAAGTGTCAAACAGCAACGCAGCAATAAATCCAAATAAAATCCACCAGCTTTGGATTTATAATTTTCTACTTCTAGTGAATAACTCCTTTCTCCCCAGAAGTAATGCTTCATCTTTGCTTTTTTCTCTACTGATGTACTATATAAAAGCATTTTCCAGCTGGAAACAATAAAACACCACCTCCTTGACATAGGGACTATATGAACAGCTACTTCATTTATGAGTGAACATCTCAGTGGGTATTTTGTGTTTTAAACTGTCAAGTCAAGCTATTGACAACTTTTCCTCTTCCTTCTTTTTCCTGAATTCTCTTCTGTGTTTGGTAACACCCTACCCAGATGACATTTCAGGATGTGCTGGTCTGGTGGCAGTGATTAACTGGAACAGTGGCTGCCTACCAGGACAGTGGCAATAGGACCTGACCAAGCTTTTCTCCCACCTTCCCTCTGCTGTTTAATGCTCAGTCCAAAAAAAAAAAAAAAAAAAAAGGAAGGAAAAAGCAGTTTTCCTTCCTGTCTTCTTTTTACAGCAATTCTACCTCCATGCAATCTTTTTTTCACCCTAGAGAGTCCCTGTCCTCGAGTCTCCCTTCTTCCTCTGGGGAGTGAAAAGGAGAAAAAAAAAAAAGGCAGTCAAAAGAACAGTGGTGGCTGTGTCAGCCACTGTACCTTTTCCAGATGAAAAATACATGTAAGAGTAGTATCCTATATGCTGCTAACACAGGACATAAAATTTTAGGCTGAAAGATACCAGATATAATAGAGGATTATCTGTCAACTCTATCCAAACCTCCTTGTACTGTTCCAGCCTTCCTTAATTTACTGCCTTTTCCCAGAACCACCTTCAGCATGTCAGAAAGAAGGTGCTGAAGAGGAGAAAACAGAAGCAAATGACCAAGACAGTAAGGATGTTGGCTGTGGGACCTTGACTCCTTTATTTGACAACTTCTTGTTCAAGTTCTGTTTATTTTTTAGGCACCCTTTGAAAACTGAAGGAAACGAAAAATGAAAGTACCAGAAGAATTATTTTAACTACTTAACACCTAAACTATTTACATGAATAGCTATTTCAAAAAATTGGGGGGGAAAAAAAGGCTAATTGAAATGAAATTTAGTAAAACTTCTACTGTGACAAACCTTCATGGGAAATGCTGAGATCAATCAGACAACATACATGGAGAGTTTTACACAGATTGCATGAGCTCAGTGGAAAAGGGCTTTTCAGCCCAAGAAAAGTTTTACTACCAACATAACATTCAGAAGCTTACTAAAAGACTGGTGTGCTGGAATTCTTGATAATAACAGAAAGATTCAAGTGGGACCTCCTGCCAGGGCTTTATTTACAAAGGAGAAAAAAGCATGTTTAGTCTGTATTTAAAAAAAAAAAAGAAAAACACCCTTATGTTCCTGCTTTTCATTACTGTTATTGTAATTACTGGGTACAAATAAATTATGGAGATGGCAGGCTTGGATTTAATAATACACAATAAGTGATCCTTTAAAATTTGCTAATATGTACTCATAACATCCCACACTGGCAAACAAATCATCATTGTTTGCCTGGGGTTGCTAGCTATGTCCACAGAACTTCCTAAACAGCAGATGAATCCCTCTCCCAACTCTCTACAAACCCTGAGCCAGCAGAGTGGTTTCAAAAGAAAAGGGTGCTGGACAATCATTCTTTTGGCCATAAGACATCAAAGAAATCATATGACTGGATAGATGTGTGCCAGTCTCTTTGATCTTTTTTTTTTTCCTCCATCTCTGAACTCCAACAACAACAACAAAAATTCTGAAAGCATAATACCAAAACATCAGAAAGTGTAACATGAGAATTTTGAAGCGCCTCCAAAGGAAACAGCAGCACAAAAATGAAGCATGATTTCAAAAAGGTGATGGAATATTCTTCATTCCTGATAAGAAAACCACCTAACCAGCAGACAACAACTTACTGCAACAATATAAAAGTAACCCTCCCTACACATGAACTTGAGTGTGCCTGAAAATTCACCTGTGCAACCTCAGTACACACTTACTATCTTTGTGACCAAGAAAGTGAGAGTTGAAGATAACTGGAGTCCCACCACATGTTTTAGGCAAAGTAGGTTTTGACACTATTTTCAGAGATTAAATACAAGTGAAAATACCAAATTTAATTACAGTGGACACTTAAAATTCAAAGAGGGAAAGTGATTATGCACGCTGGTTAAAGATGCAGCTGACAAGGAGGAAAGGCCTTTTGATTTTTTTGATTTTTTTTTTCTCTCTCCAACATAAAGGAAAGTTGACATTGGACAAAGTAATGAAAAGATATAAATGTGATACCACCCTAGAAGCAGTGATACACAAAGTAAAAAGACTCTCAGGGAGATTAATTTGCTACAGGTAGGTGACTGTTATAAAACAAGAGAAAAAAAGAAAAACTGATCAGAAACTGGGACAAGTATTCCAACCTGCTCTTCCATGATTTTCTGTTTAAGACAATATATTTTAGACTCGATAATGATTTCTTGTGTTAAGAAGTGCAGTGATTTCTTGCATCTCTGGTATGGGTAATTATGGCATAACTATAAGATTTAGACACTTCCCTAAATTAATGCTTACCACACCACATTTCTAAATTTTATCTGATACAAATAAAAGGAAAATAATTTTTACCACTTTGCATGTTGCACAAAGGCAATTCCCTCCATTTAATCCTGCCCATTATACTCACAAGCTTGGCTAATCAAGCAACAGCCTGGTACAGGGTTTTACACTTCACATTGGCTGTTAACCTTTCTTGGCAACGAATTACATTGAAGACAGAATCAACCCCCTTATTCCAAATCATTATAAACTGGAAATATTTGAGTTGGATGAAATATTTTGGTCTGATATAGCAAGCAGTTTTCCCCTACTGTTTTGGACCTCCTGCAACCCCTTAAGCGAAACAAGACAGAGGTGTTTAGAAATGCCTTGCAATCAAATTAAATTGATCATAATTCACACCTTGTTTTCAAGAGATAGTAGGAAAATAAAGCCACTGGGTGAGCCAAGTCCCTGTGAGAGTGTGTATGTCTCTGTACAGGTGGGGCTTTTAATAACTCACTGAAATCCCATTAGAGGAACATGTAGGATATAAATGTTCTAACAGTTGGTTTTTTAAGTGTAAACCTCAAAAGTTTCATACAAAGACAGGTTATTAGAAAAAGAAAAAGCCACAGTGATTTTTACATTTTTAACCAATGGTCACCTAGCTGCTTCTTTTTCCTCTAAGCACTTATGACTGTCTTTTATAAATGCTAGTAAAAAGAAATGCCATTTAAAAACTTCTCACACGTAAGTTGTACTGAAATCTCATTTGATCATGCAACAAAGCCATAAAGAGAGGCTTGTGATATCACAATTCTTCACTTGGCAATCAGTTATGTTAGTGAAGACATAATTGTACCCTTGCTTTGTAAGTTATGAGAAATTGTAAAGAAGTAAAATCTTATTCTTATATAAATCTTCAAGAATTAAGTGAGAAAAATATGAGAAAATGAGCCATGTTATTATCTGATTAAAACATTTCTTCATGTTTGACCTCAATTTAATGTCCTGCAGAAACATCTAACTCTCCTTAATTTGGAAAACAGAAATTTTCAGAAGTATAATTTTTCTATAAGTTGCATGTGTGTCACATGAGCTTGGAGATAAATTATGACTTTGGTTAAAGAAGGTAAAGCACTACAGTTAGTGTTATTGTAAGAAGGAAATGAAGAACAGAGAAATTAATTGGCAAGTTGCTGCTGTGTACTGACAAATTTTAAATTGAGGGTGTTTTTTTTGACTTATAACATGTCAGATTCGGAACTGATTAAGATATTCCATGCTATGGGCATCCTCCAACTTCATAAAAAGCACTGAAAATCCTTCTCCCCAAATATTTCCAGCTTTGATAGAAGCAGGTAAAAAGCATTAAGAAACTCAAACGCACAAGAAAATTGCAAATCCCACCTGGTGATCCAAATATATAGCATTCCTTTGAAGGTGATGTGAAAGAATCTCATTCTAGTAGGCAGCAGTCAGAGGGCAAAAGGAAAGGGACAGAAGGTGCAGAATGCATGAAAAGAGCTTTAAAAGATGTAAACTAGACAGTGATCTGTTTTATGCAGAAATATAATGATGTTTTTAAACTGCTTTTTTTGGTGAACTGTTACAAGTCTTGATCCCGAAACAGAAGTGATGGAAGTTTACCACAAATTAGGCTATGAAGCACTATATCACATTTTCTATTTACATCTAAAATATAGTAAACTCATATAAATGCCCACTACACAGACAACTATAAACCCTTTGATAAATCTGTGTTTTAAGCAAGTCCTGCTGTTCACAGACATATTATGAATAAGAAAATATCTGAAATGAGGCAGTATAAACAATAAATTCACCTCACGATCTATCACTACTGATTTTTTTTTTTGTGAGACCAATAGATTAAAAACCTTTAACTACAAGATATTTTAAAACATCCCCCTGCAATTTTGAACTTGGCTCATTTGGAAAAGCCCCAAAGTAAAACCTCAAAGGGTTAATAGCAGAACATCACATACACAAAGAACCAAAGTTACTCTATTCTACTCGCGCACGACAGTCAGAAAATTTTTCACCGGGAAAAGTACAAAGCAAACTTTTGATTAATGGATGACTACAGGTTAGTGAGAATGGTACATGACACACATTGCTTTATAGCTGACCTTTGGGCTGCTGGCCTCAAGTTTTAGTTGCATGAGCTGTGCTAGTGTGTGTTCCCGGATACTACTCAGTTCAGCTTGCTGCCGTCTCAGCTTTATTAGCAGCAGCGTGAGCTCCTCTGGCTGAAGGAGTGCAGTGTGAGAAGCCAAAGAGTAGAAAAAAGGTTAATTGGTATCCCAAACAACACTTAAATAAAATAAGGCTTCTGAGTATCCTTCTTACCAAAAAAAAACTTTCTACAGTGATACAACAGAAGAAACACCATTTCCACCCCCTCCCCAAACTGACTGCTTTCAAATATATAATGAAAGGTTAACTTTTAACTGCTCAGAACAATTTGATACTGCAAATGCTGTAGGAGTAAAACATTCTGCATAAAGGACAAAAATAAGGGAGGATTTTGCAGGACAAAGTCTGTGCAGTCCTCACACTTCCTCTGACGTGCACATCAAATTGACGATACTGGCTTAAGAGGAGGGGGAGATAATTCTAGTTCTTAGGGTATCACTACTTGTACATGGACAGCCATTTGAGTTTGGTGAAAGAATCAAAACATGCCCTCAAGGAAGTTTAGTTTTTAATACAATTCTTCAAATGTATGCCTCAAAATTGAGAGTAAAAATAATGAAAAATCCATCTTAACTGAACTGCCTCAGAAACCATCACCTTTCACAAAATAAAACTGAACAAGCATGAAAAAAATAATTTTCCATCACACCTTTCACAGGTCTGAGGCTATCAGTTATTTTATTGCTTTATGACTAAGCTGTACAATAAAGCTTAGTCATCGCTTGGGAAGTGATGAGGGCCAGCATTTAAACCCTAAGATTATATATATTATGGAAATAAAGTCACACTCAAATGGGTATTTGTCAGGTAATTCCACACAGATCAGTTTAGGTCAGTTTGGGAAACTCTATCTGAACCATTCTGAACCGTTTTTATTAGCAATACTTCAAAGAAAACAAACCACTTAACGAGTATTTTTTGTTATGTTTGTGTTTGCTTCTGTTTCTTACACTTCTCCAGAAGTCAGTCTTACAAGAGGTTAAATATTCACCCAGCATTTTGATTTTCTCACAAGTTCTGCGAGTTAAATAAAACCCAAACACAAAAACCTCCTAAAACCCAGCTTGCTGTCTCCCAAAGTCACAGAATTTCCCCAAAGCAAAGAAGTAAAGAAAAAAGCTCCAGAGAACCACATACTGAAACACTGAAAAACGAATACCAGTTTCTTAGAATAAAGAGGAAACATCCCTGAGAATAAGCATGGCACTGGCACCGTTGTGAGTTGGGGCAAGAGTAGCCCACAAGAGGGAGCAAGGGATTTCCACATAGCTTCAGTTGGCAAAACCATTTGCTTTCAGGGAAAACCAACACCAAACCCAAGTTGTCTAATGGCAGTTTTTCTTCTTACAGTACTCTTTCAATACCTGGATTTAAAATATTTAATTTCAGAGAGTAAATGTAAGAATCTAGACTGCTATACAAGGCATTTTCAAGCTCTCTCCAAAAATAAGTGACAGTGCTTTCAGTCTGAAAATTAACATCAATTCAAAGCACAAGACATCTTATTTTTAGGAATATGAGAACTGAAAGTAGCATCTTCAAGCAAAAGAAACATTGATCCACTTTTTCAAGGTCAAAACTCCTCTCAGTATGTTCTGCAAAAGCCCAGTTTGAGTGCATTAGGAATAAAATATTTAATGGCACTTAAATCCAATGTTTGCAAGTAAACCTTTTTCCAAAGAGGAGCCCATCAAACCGTAATTCCCACTCATCTCTAGACATTCCTAACGTTGCAAACACGTTTGATGCTGCTGCAAGTGCTGTGATACAGCATTTGATACAGCTCTTGGGACTCTGGCAACAACCACAGCACAAAATTTTCTTCAGAGCTACCTACGGGTTCCCTCCTCTGGCCCCTGAACCCAAAGAAACGTCTGTAAGGCACCAGCTGCCCAAGGCCAACCCACAAATTCCTGAAGGTGCCAGAGATTTGTGCTGGGAAGTGCAAGAAACAGGGATTGGAGCAGTGGAAGGATCGACTGCGAGTTGCTGCCCACGGTGTGATTCAAAAAAAAAAGTCTGTGTTCTTAATTTGTAACTCCTGAAATCAGTAATTTCAGATGGACAGAGAAAGATTATGGAATGGAGGCAAAAACTGGTAAAGAAAATATATAAACTGAGGACAATATCTTAAGATTTAGGATGAGTCACGTTTCAGTAAGGAAGGCGAACCGTATTCACCAATATCACTTTGATGAAATACCTTCAGTGAGAATTTCAGCTCTACCACACTAAAATGGGAGATGTCAGAAAGGCCAATTATACAAAATGCAGTTTTAGTATCTTTCAGATTTCCAAAAAAAGACAAACTTTATTTCTAGGTTTTCCTAAATAATTAATGGAGAAATAAGTGTTCTGTGATGTGCTCTACCCTCTCCCAGGAAGTTCAGCAATGTATCAACAATGATTAAAAAAATAATAAATTTGTATTTCTCAAAGAAAATCTTGACTCAGCAGCTACATGATATTCTCAGCATTCAGAGGAACCACAGAGTATTTCTTTACTTGCTATAAAAATCTCTGATAATTAAAATAAAGGCTACATTTAATGCAAGCTTCGAATACAATAAGATTTCAGTGTTGCCTCTTCCTATTTAAAGAATTATTCTTAAAAGCCCCTGATGCACAAAATAAAAAAAACAACTCACTGTTTTGCCTTGGAGGCTCTGAGGAGTAACAGGCTGTAAACTCAGGCCTGCTGGCATCGACCTTCTGTCAGGTACAAAGACATGCTGTACAAAAAAAAAAGAGCACAGTATGATCCAAAGTTATTTCTAAAGACCCCAAAACTTTTAAATGTTAAAAAAAAAAACACAAAAGAAAAATCAAGCCAACGTCACACTCATGAAAATTTGCTATGATTTGTGCCAGTCATGCTCCCTGCTGATCTACTATGTAGGACACTCGAGCAGTCTACCTCTAAATTTTAGAAATACCCCAACTTTCATCATTTATTTAATTAATGTTGCCTGACTGATAGCCTGTGCAAACGACAATTTTAGTTTTTCACCTCCCACTGAAAGCCACTGAAAAACCTAAGAGCTCTATGAAGACGGGGTCTAAATCTTTAATTTAACCCTACTGATTTCAAATAATCAGTCTCCTAATTACCCAATCTTCAAAACAGGTCTGTGTTTTTAAGTTAATAGCAAAAGCTGGTTGTGTAACTAATGAAATACAAAACAAACAGCTTGAAAAACCAAAGGGAAACATTAGTATTGCGTAAAAGATACTAAATATGCAATGAAATACTAGCATAAAGTGTTTGAGAAGGAAAAAATATCAGGAAGCAAAACATGGCTGAAAGAACAAGTAAGCACATGCTCTGCTGCACTGACATGGTGATATTTGTCACATGTGTGAGAGGCACTGATTACTAAATTTTCAAAGCAGTTGAGACACAAAAGATGTCAAAACAAAATGACTCTGTTGACAGAGACCTGAAAACTTTGAAACCCAAGACTTAATAATCAACTCTAAATTGTTTAAATAGTTTTAAGATGTAGTTACAGATTTTTTTAGCCTGCATTAAGAAACAAAGACACCGAGATAAAGTTTATGGAAAAAATGTTCAGGAGCATTTTACATCAACTGAAGGAGTAATTTTTATGTAATTATTTCCAATCTATTAAAAAACCATGATAGCACAAGCATGACAAATATAGCAGAGCCATATGCAGCACCCAAGTTTACAATTCTCCACGTCTCCCACTCACTGGTGAAGACCAGCAGAGTTAACACTAGTCAGGCACTAAAGGTGTGTGTATTTAGACTCTGATCTTTAGGGATCACCTTAACAACTCAAAGGCACAAAAAGAAACAATATTTTGTCTTCTGCTGGAACCTGAGGCAGCCAAACTTGTGGCTGAAGAACAGAAAACAGTATATGGAAAGAAACCTGGGATTTCGAGCCCTCTCGGAGCTAGAAAGGGGAAAGATTTCTGTACATATAACAAACTATTCTGAATAATTTGCCTATTGACTCCTTTTTATTTTCTTTAGAGAAATGTTAATACCATGGGCAGTAATATTAGGACAGCACGTTTTCACCTAGCACATTAGAAAAATGCCTTTTTACTACCTTTAGATTTTTAAGTGCTTTTTGAAATCAAACCTTTCTCCATGAAAATCGCGATACCACTTAAACTTCATTATAATAAAATACACTACAGTGCACCACGAGTTTTACAGTAACCATATACTTCCTACTAAACATCCTTGTAAACAGGGGGGTTTAGCTATGAAATGAAGCATTTTTACCTTGCTATGGTGGGCCCTGTGCCTGCGATCAATGGTCACATCCCCCCTTTGCACTGGCGACGACACTTCCGACCGGTAGGTCCGCTGGGGGGAATATCCCTGGAAACCAGCGATGGAACCGTGAGAGGGCGAGGTGGGAATCGAATGCATGGTCTGATCGGAGATGTTGATCATCGTTTTCGGGCTGCTTATGGTACTGTGCCTAGTCAGAGTCGTCTGCTTGTTGTAGAACTGGCGCTGCTGCCACTCGTAGAGCTGCCACATCGTGTCGTCGCGCATCGACCGCCGCTTCTCCTCGGCGCTGACGGGTCCCATGGCCCTGTCGTAGGCCGAGGGTGCCACGCTGCAGAGGCTCTCTGGGCGTGCCTTGCTGTTCCTTGGCAGTGTTCTGTAGCCCTCTGGGTAGCGGGGTAAGGCTTGAGGGCGATGGCTCGGCATGTTCCTTGGTAACGTCTGATAAGAGATTACGCTGAAAGGCAAATTTTCTTTTTGTCAGTGCACAGCATTAATATCACGGCCAGGCTAAGTTTTTCAACGTGGGTTAGGTTTATCTAGCTGACTCTGACCTTTTTTAATACTTCAAACACCATTTAAAAAATGGAAGACAAGACAACAATTAAAGAATCAATTGTACTGACAATGCCCTGTAGCAGCTGAAACTGGATCCCCCTCTCTCCTATTAGCTCTTGATATAATCTGTATTTCATCTTTTCACCAGTCTAGTGTATCAAGTTTATATCATATCGTCCAACTTATCTATATGCTGGATAGGTCAAAGTATTTAAAGCTTTAATTTTACATCCACTGAAGGAGTAATTTTTATGTAGTTATTTCCAATCTATTAAAAAACAGATGTATCTGTTTTGATTTTATTGAATTATGTAAAACAAGGCTTAGCACTGAGGGGATTGGGCTTTTTACAGTTTTCATGGTTTAACAATTGAAGATGGATTCTGTTATCTTTCTAAATGGCCTAGAATATAAGTAATTGCATGCAGACTTTAAATGGCATGGTGCACCATACCAAGTTTTAACAGTTCTACGCTGTTTCCATATAAGCCCACTTGAAATGTTTTCTTTTCCAAAAGTGAAAAAATATCCTGTTGTTTCCCTAAGCAAATCTTGAGCAGTTACTACGGACATTAAAAAAATAGTGATTCTTCTACCAGCAGACCAAGGAAAAACTGCACCAATTGTCTAAAGAAATTATGTATTGTAATTGTCAAGATGAAGCCATTCCGTATCAGCTATTCAAGCAAAACAAACAGCAAAATATTTCTTTGTTTGATAATAACATTGTATTGCTTTTCAACTCAGGTATGAATTCAAAGGCTAATTCTTTAACTTGTTGCCACATTAAAATTCTGGAGTGCTGCAGTCATTTAGCAACTTTCAGCACTAGTTGAAATGCAAAATTTTCCATACCAAGTATCGACGCGTGCCTAAGCGTGACAAAGCACTCCTTGGGTTTTCTTCCCAGAGGTCAAAATCTGGGTCATAAACATTGATTCATTCATCCCTTATCTAAAACGCAAATGAGGTGCTCTTAAAACCTTTTGCTACTTATCATGCACATGACAGATGCTTGCTGGGAGACAACTCAAACTGGGCAGGATTCAGCCATCAGAGGGCAGCAGCTTCCAGCTACACCCCACACTAACTCCGACTAAAATCCCTGCCACCACCAGGCACCAGAACCTGAAGATGGCTTTGAATTGCTCCAGTGCCAAAAAAAACCCCAACATTAAAGAAATGGTGTAGAGTAAATGGAAAGGTAAACCAGCATAAAGCATATTTGATCCTTATGGAATAACTATCGAGGTAATGATGGTAAACCCCATTTTTCACTGAAAATAGTTAAGCTGAGTATTTACGGTCACCTGTTACATTTTGGAGATGAAAACTGCTATAAACAGCTTTACATACAAAATCTGCTACAGTTTCTCAAGCTTTTCAAGAATTAAGTATTATCCCCATTTTGTAGATTGGGCAGCTTTCCATTCTCGCAGGAAAATAAAAAGGGGAAAAGAGATTTTAAGTCCTAGTCTTTTGCTGCAAAATCTGCTTAAATACCTCTAAATTTCTGTAGTAACATACCATTAATTAGAAGGCTTTTTTCAATCTCCATATTTAAAAACAAACAAACCAGATGCTTCTGAGCTCCACTTCTAACTTGCAAAATATAAGTGTAGCTATACCCCATAACAGGTACAGTGAAACTTGACATTTTCATGAAAATATTTGGCAGTTACACCCACCTCACTCTCTAAAGTTCCTCTCTTGTTTTATTAATTAAATGAGCACTGTAATCCTGTTGGCTCCTTTAGGTATCCTGAACCACTTGAAGAACAGCTATCTGAAATTCTTACTAAGATAGCAATTTAAAGTCTGCATGCAATTACTCATATACTAGAACATTTAGAAAGATAACATAATCCATCTTCAATTGTTAAACCATGAAAACTGTAAAAAGCCCAATCCCCTCAGTGTTAAGCCTTGTTTTACATAATTCAATAAAATCAAAACAGATACACCAATGTACTGTTGATACTTGCAAAAATACCATTCCAGTCAAATCCAAAAACTAACTCCAGACAGTACTGCCTTGCACACAAGGGGAGACTACAGCACCTGGGTTTGAGGTTGCAAAATATTTCTGCATCTGTCATCATAAATAGCTCCTTAAAAGTGCTCCTATATGGAAAAAAGGCTTCCATGTTTTTTCATAGACTCCTTATAGACATCTTCAGGGGCTGTATCTAGGCTTACTGTTGGGTAGCAATAGTGGTTCTGGTGTCCAGGTTGGACTATCTGGGAAAGCAACTTTGCTGCTAAACCTTCAGGGGTTCAGTTCTGTGATGATTTGAACCTCAAAACAGACCTTCATCCTGAAGGACAGAGCTACCTCCTGGCCCGGAATACAGAACTTCCACGTGTGAATTAAGCAAAGGGTGGCACAGACTGAAGACAGAAATCTGGTGTATTATTTAGGATGAGGCTTATATGGGCAAGGTGAGAGACAGTCTCACATCCTGGGTTAACAGCAACATAGTACCTCAATACCATGCAACTCCTCTTTATTTTTTCTGTATTTTCACATTTGAAAGACCACTTAAGTGAACTGCTTTTGATGAAAACATTTATTCAAAAGTTTAAAGTTTTAAAATTGATTCAATAAAATGATACTGAAGTGGAATGTTTTTATTTTTTTTATTTAAAACACATTTCTTTTTGGTTTTAAAAAAGGTTTGTCTTTCCCAAGGCAGCAATTGTCTTTATTCCTGTGGCTCTTAAAAATTAGATGTCTTGATCCATGGAAATGGTAAATAACAGCTTCAAGAACTAAAACCTACATTGTCATCATTTTTTGAGCAATCAAACTACTACAGGTTCAGCCTATTCCTCTAAAAAATTAGTAGTTGTATAGTGAACCTTTTTCATTCCACATTGAGGACAGCTAAGAGCTCCTATTTTATATATAGTTATTTAATTGTATCTATTTGTTGACATTTAAGCATTCTTAAAGTGCTGGTTTTTTTCAGTTTGACACCAGAGATACTCAGTTTGGTCCTCCATGATTTCTCTAACACATGAGAGAGATAGATGAAATGGAAAGTAGCTTTGTTAAAAGTCAGCAACTTTTCCCCTTTAAATGAAGACTACTTTATTCAAAAATTCAAGTTATGAGTTGAACAGGTCTTACTACAAACAGCCTTATTAACCTCTCACCCCAACCTTAGGCTTTAACATAAGCTGGTGCTTATTTCTACTCTAATTCTTTAACTTCAATTCTACTTAAATTTCTGGCAATCTGAACAAAAATAAAATTTTAAATTTAAATGAAACCACATTTAAATGACATCACTACATACATTAGAAAATATGGATCATCATTCAAGGCCACTTCCACACAAAGTAAAAAAGGTAGCTCAAGGCCAATTCTTTTTCAGTTTGCAACTTCTATGTAGAACTGCATTTGAATGCACACCCTTTAATGCTATCAATGCCACCCTTATTTAGGCAACAAGTGTTCCCTGTAGTCAAGAATAAAATATTGTTAATTAGTAACATATTGTTAATGGCACTTGCTTGTATTTGATTCCCACAATGAAATCAGTTTTAGAGGTTTTATACTTGTTCACAATTGAAAAATAGCCAAGCTATTCTAATTTCTACTGTTTGGTTGCAAGCTTTACAGTCCAATAAAAAAAATTAACTGCATCAGAGAGCCTTCTTGGTTCTCATTATGCAAACATGCATAATAAAATAAATGTCAGGGTGTGCAAGGCACTGTCTGCACTGCCAGTTCAAACTCGATCAAACTACTCATGTTGGGTATTTCATGAAACAACACATTTAACAGTTCCTAATTATATCTAATGAAGGACTAAAGGCAACGAGGAAATTTTCAACCAACTTTGGCAAGCAGAAGTCAAGCTAATGGAAATTTTTCAAGATTTTGCAAGAACTGAAAAGCCCCCAACCCATATTTTGAAATTTGCGGAAAACACGTTTTCTGAACTTTGTTCTGTCTTAAACTCTGCTCTGCCATCTATCTCATTATACTCATTCCCTAATTTCCAGCTCTTCAAAATTTCTCCAGTGATAGCATCTCCATACTTCCTATCAAATGTAATATTAAAACATTTTATATTTTACTGCTAGAGCTGCTTGTCTGTAAGACAGCCTGGAAGCAATGTCCCTACACTTCTGTCAGACAGAGAAATTGCTATCAGCATGACATTCAACAGTGTCAATCATTCACAGATAATTTTATAGCTTCAGGAATAAGCACTAGAACTGAATATTACAACTGGGAGATACTTAATTTCATAAGAAGAGGAGCTTTAAGCATCAAGTTAGTTAGATTTCTGTCTTACTGTTAGGTAAGGCTTCCACCTCTCTTCAATTAAAGCTTGTTTAAAGTTTAAAAGCTCCCTGGAATATTTTCTAAGAATTTTAAATAAAATATTATTACAAGAATTTGTGAATAAAAATTCCAGAAGACAGGGCAATTTCAAGAACACATTTTAAGAGTAAAAGGAATTGCTACGATTGATGATATCTCTCTGCTAGGACAGAGAAATGTCTAACACCCAAAAATGGTTTCTGGCCCTTTTTAGTTATTGAGCTATTATTATACTTTAATTAATAATATTCACTCAAATGGTAATAAAAGAAAAACTTCAATAGAATTGTTCCAAGCAGTCACCCAGGCACTTCTTATAGAGAACAATGAATAATGTATTTATGTCATACAGACCTTAAACCAAAGAACCTAACCAGGATACAAGTGTTAAGTATTATTTGCTAGAAAGCCTAGCAGGAAAAAAAAAGTAATAAAAAAAAAGTAATAAAATTACTTCACAGTACTTACCCTCTTGTTTCCTCTTCTTGTCCTTTTCCTCTCTGTATTTTAATCCACTGTTCCAGCTGCAGCATGGAGTTAGTTCTCTGCATGACCCGCTCGGACTCCACGTGCGACGGCAGCGTGTTGTGATGAGCTCCATCTCCAGCATCCGCCAGCACAACTCCACCTTTGCCCTCAGACCCATTCAAATGGACTGGCCTGAAGTGTCCAGCCTGGATGGTGCTTATGGGCAAAGTCCTGTACTCGGATCCCAAAGGATTCAGCTTCACACTGTTGATTTTTGTTAACGGTTTATCTTGCCCGACTTTCTGGAACCCGTACTTTTCGGCTTCCAAAGCTTTCTTCTCCTCGTTTCTGTTCACTTCTTTGTTTTTCTGGTTATTTTGTGCCTCTGGTTTAATTAGCACCCGGTGGTTTGAGATATTGTTTGCCTCTCGAGGTGATGTATTTTCAATGGTTAGCTTCTCTATTCTGGAAGGGAACATATGACAAGCTATAATACCAACAGAACATTTCCTAAAAATAGTAATAAAAAATTAAAAGTGAATATATTGGTATTTATCAGGGTTATTTCAGTGAATCCCTGTCCAGACATTTTATAACAATATATTGACTCTGAGAGAAAAAAATCAGGACATATTTTCACAATAATCAAGGATAGGTTGTGGGGTTTTGTTGCTTCTGCCTATTCTGTTTTTGTTGTCGTTGTTATTGCTGAATTTTTGTTTGTTTGTTTGTTTTCTTTTGTTTTTAACTTTGTTTTGAGGTTGGTGGCAGTGTTTGGTTGGTTTGTTTTTTGGTTGGCTCCTTTGTGGTTTTTCTGGTTGGGAGAGTGTGCGTATTTTTCCTTCTACACTTCTCTCTTTCTTTTCTATTTTAAAGGCAATTGTTACATGATGTAAATTTTTTAAGTCGCCCTTCAATTAACCCCTTAGAGAAAATGTGCACAACAGGAAATAAAGCCAGAGTCTGAAAAAGTGGATGTACAGTTCCTGGAGGGCTGGACATTCAAGGAGTGAAAATATTCAGTGGCTCTCCAAGAGCTGCAGCTTCCAAATGTCAACTGACTGAAATTCAGATGATTTTGACAGTCAGCTTGTGATTCACAATACTGCTGAATTTAACATATAATGAGCTCCTTTAAAGAAAGCAAATGACTTTTCATGGTCACTGGTATCAATTAGGGTTCTCTGGTATGTTATCGCTTTGGCTGGCATACACTTTGTGGGAAATGACTGTGGCTTTTCTAAATTTAAAGGGGAAAAGAGTTGCTGACTTAAGGAACTGTACCACAAAATAATGATATTTTTAGAACCCTTAGTGCTTTACAGTATTTACATAAGCACTCAATGTGCGCAGTTTTATTAATGTTCTTCTTTTTAAAATTTGAAAATGTCAAGAAGCTGTGTCTTTTTCCATACTGGGACCTGAACTTCAATTCCAGGTCAAAGAGTGACTTTTTCAGTTCACTAGAAAAAAAAAAAAAACCACCACCTTAAAATGTTTTGATCAACATGTTTTGGTATGGGAGGAAAGAAGAGGAAGAGATATAATTTTTTAAGATTACATCTCTGTATAAAACCAAACTAAGAGCAACACTTTATTTTTAGGATGATGTCAAATTAACCTTTCATAGTTTTGCATCCTTTTTGCAAATGCATTATTCATCTTTATAATTGTCCCCAGTTCAAGTGTCTGTAAAAAGGCCACCACATACACAGCTGACCAAGAGCACAGAAAGAACCACTCCTCTGAAAAGGGCTCTAATTCCAGGCAGACTAACTACATACATGGCTGTAAACATTATTGTTTACCTCATCTTGAACAAGAGGTTTAAATATGTTCAACAAGTCTACACTTCCCCAACAGATTATTTAAGTTGAGAATTCCCAAAAGGCCACCTAACTTGGGACAGAACCTATACAAATACCTAAAGGACTGAAAAACATACGGTCCTAATAAAATACTTCCCACTGCTAATAATACTGGACACTTAATTTTAAATGCACCTCCCATTACCACCCTACTCTTGCTAGGAAGGCTCTGTGAGGTGGAAGGAATCAAGAGACTCCTGCCTTGACAAATACACCATTTCAAACACATCGCTCAGAAACACCAAGGCATCCTCTGGATACTGTACCTGAGTTAAAACAAAATGCTTGTTCACTTTGCCCATGCTAACAAGGGTGTGATTTTTTTCCCCCTATGCCTCTTCCTCACATGGCTGTGACGACCCCAATCTCTGCTTGATACTTCATGATGCTATAAAAGTCCCCCCAAATTCACTTTATAAGTGAGTATAAGCAGGTCAAAACAGTCCTTGTCTTTCAGTGATCATTCCTGAGCTGCCAACATGGAAGTGTACACACATGTCAAATGTACTGCAAATGAAAACATTCCTACCCATAATCTAACATGAACATCTCTTTGGCTCTATGTGTTGGCATTATTTTTAGACACGGTGTTTTTTTTCTCATACATCGCTATTCAATGCAGATGTTAGATACATCTGATGTTTTCTGCTAGAAGAAAGGAGTGTGCAATGTTTCTGCCAACCATAATTTCTAGAGAAAAAAATATCTCGATGCTGAAACAGTTTTTACATAGACTTTTGTGAGGGAGGTGGAACTACCACACCTACATCACCTTTCCTACAATTTCCAAGTATCAGTAAAGAAATGCTACGCTAATCTCCCACTGAAATTTAAAAGTGAGAGGTTTTTAAATTTACTTTTTTTTGTCCCCAAGACTTCAAATTGTTCCAAAACTGAAATATTTCTGCCTAGGTTCCTTCTCAAGATTATGGGGAAAAAAAAAAAGATCACCTCCTCACTCCCACCTTAAAACTCTGCTACCTAGGCTTCTACCAAAAACTAAAGGAATTCCCCAAACAGGAATCTGAATGAAAAACTCAATTTCCCACAATTATCAAGTCAAAAAAGGACATTAAGATTTCAGCTTTCAGCCAGAACTCAAGAGTTTACAAATAAACGTATGGACTAGCTTGCAAATAATCCTAAACGTGGGCATTAATATATGCAGCATGCCTTAATAGCACCACCTACCCCTTTATATAACACTTCCTATAAATTTTTCTCAGGCTTTACAGCAGAGAAACAGCTGCCATTTTACAGATGGAAAATCCACAGTGCAGAGGGAGAGTGGCATCTCTAAGGACATTCATCATATATGTGGTCAAGACTCAGAACAGTGTTTGATTCCCAGTCTCATTCTGCTTTCCACTGTCTATCTTAATTAAAAAAAAAACCAAGAAACCCCCAAATCACAGAATTGTTTTTCCATGTAATCTCAGTGCTGTATCACTGGTTACTATGGTTATACACAGCAGAGCCAAACATTTACATTTGACATTCTTTGTAATGGTGTAGAGCCTGAATGACTGATGTTCAAAAAGACTTCTGGGCTCTCCTTTAACTTGGTGCACCAAATCAGTCAACTCTGTGAGCAAGGGATATCTTTCCACAGTGAAGGATCCAGAAGGGAAAAAAAATTATCAGAAACTAACAGGCAAATGTAAGAAACATAAATCCATATGTATATTTGGCTCCATATTTATAGCTAGCTCTCAAAGACTTGCAGGCTATTTGAGGACGGGATAGGGAGAAGAGGAAGAGAATGAGCATTGAACACGTGTCCTTCAGCATATGCTGGATGCAATTTATAGACTTCTACAACCAAAAAGGAATAATATGTACGGAACTGTAACACAAAAAAAGTACCATTTTATGCTGGTTTATATAAATAAGTAATTCTGAAAGGGCTGGGGGGGGAAAAGCATGTAATTAATTATCAGATGGATGTGAGGACTGTGATTTAACAAAGCCAGGCAGAGGCATTTGAAAAGAAAAAGCCACCTTTTCCAAGCACAGTGACGTCAGTAAGCCCCCACTGTGGATGTCACTATGCTAACAAGTGCTTTTTTGGCAGCCTAGCTTCTGCTGTTTAGGAAAACTAACTACACTAGGAGGAAAAAAAAGAAATCTTTTCTTAGTACATCCTGCATCCCTGAGAAGAAACAAAGGCTCCAATACACAAGCTGACAGTGAAAGGCTAGAAAAATGACACTCAAACAGGGGAGAGCAGAAAAATCAGCATTTAGGGTACAAATGTTAAATCAGTATGTTGGTGGACATTACCATCTACAAACATACGCAACTACTCAGATCCAATTCAACTGTGGCCCACAGAGACACAACATGGAATAAGCAAGATGTTTTGCTGATGCAGAGAGGTTGTTTGAGATCATATTTTGAGTCATAACATCCTCACTGACTACATTATTTGTGTTTAATTATTTTCATAAGTCTCTCAGTACACTATTAAACTTGAATTTACTATCTAGGTAAATTAAAAATGTTTAGAAAGGAGTAATTACAATTAAGTCAATAGGAGCAAATAGTATTTGTCCTTCCCTGTAGTGATACATCAGAAGGGAGTTTTTCTGGTGTTAATGCAGATTAGTTTTGAGAGAAATGGTCCCATTTTTATTTTCTCAGCTCGGTATCTTGTTTCTGTTTTATATGGCTAACTCTAAGTGGAAAGTAATAGTTTGTGGGAAACAGGCAACCCTCCCTCCCCCAATTTAATGTTTTAAATATTCCTTTTATCTTTTTTTCTCTCCAAGGAACTCACATCCCCAGAAAAACAAGACACAGATTAAAACTCTAAAATTATTTAAAGCTAAAACATTTGGTCTAACAGACTGTTGGGTTTGATTTTCAGAGTACCATAAGCAGTGAAGTACCTTGATTTCTAGATTTAAAGAACTATACTGTAAAAACTCTTGATTTATCATTGGGTATTTTATATTAACAAGCACTTAAGAGTGGCTCAACATCAGTTTGCATGAATATTTAAGGAAGCAATTCTTAATAACTCATCTGTTGTATTGCAAGTATCCAGTCTGTTAAAAAACTGTATTCAGTACATTGTTAGAAAAAAACAAAATTGAGAAACAAAAGCACTGGTTAAATTTGACTAAACCAAAACCACTTATGCTTAGAGCTGCATGCATGCCAAACTTTAGGTTACTTAGAGATGAGGTAATAAAACACTTAATACTCAACAGATTTTTACAGGGAAGGAACAGTATTTCTTCTGCATAAGATCATATCCTGCTACATTTCATTTTAAGAACTGGTTTGATAGCCAAAAGATGGATTCCTTAGAAAACAGATGTCTGAAGGATTTTCTTCCTTACTATAGCTAACAGACATGAAAGTCTTCGAGACTTGGTCTTGAAATGTATTTTCCCTGAAGTAATTATTTCAAGGTTACTAAGCAAGTTTTCAAAGAGGTCACATCTAATTCTGTTTCATTCTAAGGTTTCTTGCCCGAATTAAAACAAGAAGATGGTGTTACATAAGTTGCTTTTCTGACACTTGTTTGGCTGTTGGCAAGCCTGTTCAGCCTGTGACACCCAGGCAGAGATTCACAGTATTGCAAATATCAAATGAAGGTTATTTCAGCAGTTCAAAAAAAAAGATTCAGAATGACCTCCTTCAGTGTTATTCCCTCTACAAAGTGCTTATACAATTGATATATGATTTTTATTTCAAATTAAGTGGGTTTGATTTGGTTTAATGATTTCTCCATATGTAAGTTACCACTGTATCTGCAATACAAGACTGATTTTTCAGATTAATTTTATTATTCACTAAGCTTCTCTGGTGCTGTGTCTATGCGATTTTTTTTTTCTTTTTACTACTTTTTTTTTAAACTTAAAATTTCTCAGCATGTCTGACATTCATTTAGCTCCAGGGTAGCAAGAACTAACAGAGTGGAGAATAGATCAAGTGACAGCAGCCATCAGCAATAACTTCTGTGCCATCAATAACGAGGAGCTTTTAAACTTCCAATTGATGAGGTTTCCATTAGAGATGCCATGGAGCCGACCCAAGGGACCACATTCCGAGAGAAAACGATTCCCACTGGATAGACAGCAGCAGACAATATTCTGTTTCTGAGAGCACAAGGCTCCTGGTGATAACTTGGCTTTTCATTGTCAACACACGGATACAGAAAGATAAGGCTCCAGATAGGGGAGTATAAATTTGATGACAGCTTAATGATGAACAAGAATGGCTCCCCACAGGTTGCCCACAGGTACAACCATTTAATTTAGCCAGAAAATCCAGTTGTGAATTTGAGACTTATGACAGGTTTCAGCCAAGGGCTACCACCAGTTGAGCTGCTATTGCTATTCAGTCGGGAGGGCAGGGGAAGTCAAACATGCCTACACATACTATTTGTCATTGCACTTCTTTTGATGCCACTGGCTAAAGGAATAAGTCAGGAGTTTTTTTCTAGCTCCTTACAATTAATATTCAGAACAGAACTTAGGTTATTTTTACTTCTTCAAAATTTTATCCAGCATTGTTACATTAGTAAGGGCTCTTCAATACAAGGAGAAATAAATTACTTCAGCCAATTTACATTCTGTTTTCAGGAACACCTTTTCATTACATAAATCAAACTAAATAAGAGAAAGCAATACACTGTTCCACTCTTTTGTCAATCCACATTACCTTTTCACAGGCTCTGTCTGTACAAGTGCTGCATCTATCATGGCTTTCATCCACAGCTCCATTTCCTTCCCTGTATCTGTGCAGAAATAATAGGTCCTCATGTTTGGATGAGCTGCCTGATTGGAAATGACATGGTCATTGCAATAAAAATATAAGATTCTGTAAAAGAAAAGAGGCAAATATTGTTACTGCATACTCCCTCTAATGCTTTATATAATAAGATTTCTGCAAATAATATTATCAGAAAAAAAATATGAAAAAGAATACTACAATGTTTCTTGGTCACTGCACTCATATTTTCAAAATAATTGCCAGTAATTTTCAATCATAGCTGTTTTTCATTAATAGGCTAAATAAAAAGCCCTTACATTTCTTCAATCTATTAAAAACTATATTGATCATTCATTAATGTAAATTGGTATAATTATTATAAATAAGATTTTGGAATAGGTTTTGGCAGCCTGAATGATACAGTAAGTTTTCAGTTGCACTTACCATTGTAAATAAATGATGTGCTGGTTAGGAGACCAAACCAAGTGCCAAAAGGAGCTCATAAAACAACAATAAAAAAAGTCAGGAGAAAATATTTAGTGAAGTCATTTACATCATGATTTAAAAGATCAGCTGTGAAACACTCCTAACAATGGCTCATGTAATATTGTGATTTAAGTGATAATAAATCCTTATTTTTATTTATGTGTGAAGATACTTTGTATCTGAATAACTAAAGAACATTCATTAATAAAGTAAGTTCAGGTGCAAATACTGGTCTTTAAGTGGTGCTTTAAAGATCTAAGATACTACTAGTGAGTGATATCCATCCACTTTCCCATTCTAGTAATGCTGTATTTACATCAGGCTAAATACTTGAAGCTTCTTGCTACTGTATTATGCAAAAATCAGCCTCAGAAGCTGTTTGTCAATCCTGTTGTGCATAATAACTCTGTAAAATGAGTTCTTATCACCAGGTTATTGTGCTTTCAGATACAAAATCAAGTGGAAAAATTGATTCCCTTACCTTAAAGGCATATTTGCGGTTAATGTGGTCCTCAGCAGACAGCATAGATATCTGAAAACTAGGCAGAAGGATGCTACCCAGTATTCCCTCTTCTTTCTCATCTGTGAATGCACAGTCTTTGATTAGAGAAACAGTGTTTTGACATGATGTTTGTATTCAGACACTTCAGTCAAACTCTTGTGTTCAATCACACAAGACCACTAACCAGACATTCACTCAGAGGAAAAGGCATCAGAGAGCCAGACCGAGTTGTGTTGCAGGTATCTGTGTGCAGTCTAAAGGGCAATTGTGCAGCCCCTCTCTGCCAACACGTGCCACAGAATGTGTGGTGCCCCCCAAAACCCGCCAGGCACCGTGAAACCTCGTCCACCTTTGACTTTCTCCCCGAGACGGACGAGCGCAAAGACCCCTCCTGAGCGCGCGGTTCCGTACGTGTGTAAGCACGTGAGCTCCCTCGTGGAACCTGCCTGATGGAAAACACCACAAACAGCTATGCCCACAGCTTTCCTGGGGATCAGTGCTTACCTGCCTGTGACTTCCAAACTGAAGAGCAGATGGAAGCCAAGCCTCTAATTCAGTGACAAGAACAGTAACCGCCTGCTATCTGTTGTTCTAAAAACCACAAATACCTGTGATGCCTCAAGTACTCTAAAGCTCTCATTGTTGTTGGCTTTTGAGAAAATTTGCACATTCTTCTTCTGATCTCAAGCATATTGTGCTACATAATTCCCATTATAGTACTTAATTATAATTCCCTTTGTAATTCCTACAGATTTCACACTTGATTACATTCTGTTTGTAAGAATGCATATGTTTCGGATAATCCGTAAGAAACAAATTCTCCCCCCAAACAAACACCCTTTTCCCAGAACCCTGTTTTACGTACAATTTTAGAACAATACATTGTACTAATAAATTGACATTTTAATTGAAAGCCACAACCAGCTTTTAAATCCAATTACACTTTAATAAAGGAATAATTGAATGCAATTCACAAAGTCAGTCTTAATTTTATTTCATGTAGAGAACTTCTATTCACAGCCGTATCTTGGAGACTGTCCCCTATAACACTTCTCATAGTTGAACACGGTGCCCAAAATGAATGACTGTGTATCTATGAAATTAGGATGAAAACACAGATATTCCAAAATTTCAAGCCTGAAAAATTAACACTGTCACAATTAAAATGCATTTAAACAGCACAAAAGGGCTATTGCTTATGCGTGGATTTAAAAATACTTTCTTGGTTCTCCTTCACTCACTAAATTTTGAAAAGCCACAACCTTCATTTAGGTTACTTATATGGAGAAAGCTCTGCCCAGCCATTTTAGTATTACATGACAGGTTAGATGTAAAAATTATGCTTTCTAGGACAGTTATTTAATTGGAGAGCTGAGCATAAAATTATTCTGATTAAAAGGCAGAGATGGAGTGGATCTACTTTCAGGTACTCAACTGTACTCATAAGTATGTCTGAAACCATCTCACCTTCCCCTCTCAAATATTTACTCCCTGTGAGCCACAAAAAAAATCTGCCCTTTTCCCCCTCTGTCCTCGAACACATGGCAAATGCTGGGGTTTACTTTATTTGGACTGCTGTTTGGGGGAAAAATTCTTCCCTTCTGCTAGATTATATTCTGACTTATTACTCAGTCAGTCACACCCACTAGTGCCATATAAAAGCACAAGGCATTTTTCGTTCCACTGAACAGCTGCAGGTCTGGACGACTTTGGTCTCTGTTAAAGACAATGCTACATTCCACTTCCAGATTTTCAAAATCTGTTTCCAATCAGACTTGCTTTTATCTACACATTGCACCACTCCATATCCATCTTTACTTGTGTGCTCTGTATGAACAGTACAAGAGAAAAATAGCAGATCTTCGGTCTAATTCTAAGAATTTTTACTTGTGGCAACAATAAAATTGTTATATTCCAATATGACAGTGGACAGTCTTTCCTCCCTCCGTGAAACAAAGTATTCTCTTAGCTCTGAAAAAATACAGTGACATGATTTTCTTTTCACCTGCAGATTGTATGAGCTGTTAACATTGGAACACAATTGCAGACGTTCAGCAAGACTTACTAATAAAACAAAAAAAAAAGCCCCGAACAACCAGAAACACAATTTGCAATCTGGGGGCAAGTACACAGCTCTCTCATTTCTATTTTTCAATGTCTGAGATAGAATTAACAGAAATATAAAAGCACAGGGCATAGAGTGAAAGTTTTTGGACTATCACTACAAGTTTAATCACAATTTAACAGCTTTAATTACTTTCTAGTACCTAAAAGCTAAATTTATCATGTAAATTATTTAGGTTGTTCTGTTTGAATTTCAACTTATTGGGTAGATTAACATGTAGAAATTAAAAAGTAAGGTAATAGACCTGTTTGGATTTATTTGTTGTTTCTTTTGCTTATTGCTTTTTTAAAATTTATTTTTAGATACTTCCTGTGCTGTGCTTTTAAGCAATTTAACCTGTTCTTACAGCAGCCAAGAAGTAGAACTGTCTTTAGAACCTTTGGAAGAGAAAACCTAAAGACTTGTTAAAAAGAAGAAAACTCTGTCAGAAAGCACAGATAATGACCATTTAAGTAAACACGGTGTAACTCTATCAGTTGATGCCTCCATGACTGAAATTACAGCCTAATTTTGACTCTGCAGTGGTTTATCAAACAATGTATATTTTTTAGGGTAGAGAAATGAAGCCTAATGATTAGAGTTCAATAACTCAGAATTTGTTAACTTTGCAGTTACAAGTTGCAAACAGTTACAAAGAGTTGCAATTTCAGAGCTTTCATGTTTCATGACCTGATTTGTCTTTGATTAGATCCATGCTGCACTTTAACAGAACACCATTTTAAATTTATCTGTCACTGCTTTCAGCATCACCAGCATCAGCACCACTCCCACCAATTCTGAAGTCTCATCCTACAGCTGAAACCCTTTCTTACCCTCCACCTTCAATTAAGGCTGCAGATGGCCCTGACTGCTCATGTTCCTCTATTTTGCTTTACAACCCTCTTCGCTCCTGATTTCAGGATTTAATATGTTTCCATATGCACAAATCCCATTTGTTTATCTCCTCAGGAGCACTACAGTTAATAATCTGTAATGGGGAAGGAATCAGTTTTTTAACACACATAACTCCAGACTAGAATTACAAGCAGCTAATTTTTCCCATGTAAAATAAGTCTGATGTAGCTACACAAGGTTACTAACAGATTCCTTTGTTCTAAATACAGCAGAGACTTCTACTCTTATGGAACTGGACAACATTTCACTTCATAAGTATTCATGAACACTGATTAGAGTTCCCAAAGGTGTATATATCCTCTTATCATTCCAAAGGCAGAGTTTCAGCTCCCCTGCACTATCCCTTCCCTATCCCCATCCCTTTCAGTTACTTAAATTGCATGAAAAATCAGATTTAAACTGACATACTTAGTTTCTAGCAACAGAAGCAGTGAGAAAACTACAATCCAGCATTTAATAACAGAGGTGGCTGTGAATGGGTTTGCCCTTTGAGCATACCCTGACAGGCAGGAAGTAATTACGTGAAATTGGTAATTAAAGAAGAAAGAAAGAAAAAAAAAAAGATAAAAGTAGCAGGCCTGGATATTGACAGCTATACAACCTTGTTAATCCAGTAAGTTAAGCAGCAGCTTCTTATTTCTTACATTTGAGTGGTGTGTCCAAATTTATCTGCTTCCAGTAAAATTAGCAAACGAAGGTGTCAGGAGTGGGACTCACCTCTGTAATAGAAGAGACAGAGATCGGAGAGCACAAACCACCGCTTCTTCCACAGCTTCATCCCAGTGCTATCCTGTATGAACCAAAGGGATCAGGTAAGAGCTCTCAGACTGTCGACAGCAGTTGTTCATAAGGCAAACCAGGTACTACATAACTGTGGTGGTGTGCCAGTAGCTCATTTTCTTGGCTATTTTAAGTAACTTTGACTTTTCATCACGACTTGTCACTGCATACAAGTGACACAGGAAGGCTGAAGGTAACAGAGAATCATGGAGTTGTTTAGGTTGGAAAAGACCATTTAGATCATCAGGTCCAACTGTTACCCATACTGCCAGTCCACCACTAAACCATGTTCCCCAGTGCCACATCAACACATCTAATTATACCTTCAGGGCTGGTGACCTAACCACTTCCCTGGGCAGCCTGTTCCAGTGCTTGACAACTCCTGTGGTGAAGAACTTTTTTCCTAATATCCAAACTAAAACTCCCCTGGCATAACTGGAGGCTGTTTCTTCTTGTCCCATCATTTGTTACCTGAGAGAAGAGGCCAGCCCCCACCTCACTCCAATCTCCTCTCAGGTAGCTGTAGAGAGCAAGAAGGCCCTCCCTGAGCCTCCTTTTCTCCAGGCATGCTAGAGGCTACAATATACAATTAACCAAAAAAAAAAGTGTATATGCATATATGTATATATATAATTTTTTTTATTACTAAAAGAGCAAGGAAATACTTGGGGTACATCCTCCTTTGTTTTCTGAAGAAACTCTGCTGAACTTCATCTTCTACTACCACTCACATTTAGAGCAAATTTCTTTCCCAAATAAAGTTTATTCCTAAAGCAATTTCATTTTCTTTTATGTTTATAACCAATTTACACTGCACAACTCAGAATGAAAGACTATCACCACTACTGCAGTGTAAATAAGCCTGAGCATTGCAGCACACACATCCTGGCTGAATCGGATTTAATAAATATGTTAATCTGTTCCAAGAAGAGAAGTATGTGTGAATTATCAATATTCTTTTAGTAAATAGGTTTTTTGTGGCAACCAAGAGGGATTCTATAATGAAAAACTGTAGGGTGGAGTGGGTTTGGTTTTGGGGTTGGTCTCCTCCCCCCTCCCAAACACACACCCCTAGCAAAAGTTAGCATAATTTTTAGCCTCATATTTCAAGCTCTTCTCCTTTTGGGGTAGGGGAAATGAGCTAAAAGAAGAAAAGGTAAACCAAGCATTAGCTAAGAAACATTATTCAGAAAAAGTATGTTCACTGTAAACATCTTCCAAAAAAAGAGTTGGCTCTGGACTTAAAAATTAGTAGAAAAATAGAAGAAGGGTATCATCACATGCATTGAGACAGAACACCCTGAGTTAAACAGGGTGATTACACAAACATGTTGCACTATCAAAAAGAAACCTGCACAAGCTTTCACCATAAATTTCTGAAGATTGTATCTGTTGATAAAACCCTGGCCTGAATTGGCTTTCAGTTACTACTATGACATGGAAATATTAAGCAGCCCCTTTCCTTACAGACACCAACCAAACATCACACTGTTTAAATCATTTCACACAGTAAGCAGTATGACAGGGAGGTGGATTAAAAACTGGTTTTACTGCCAGGCCCATGAGTGGGTGGCCAGTTCCTTGTGATCCGCCCCAGGGGTTGATACTGCGGCCAAGACTATACAACAACTTCAATAATGAGCTGCACACCCCCAGCAAGTCTGCAGATAACACAAGTTAGGAGGGGTGGCTCATACACCAGATGGTTGTGCTGTCATTCAGAGGGACCACAACAGGCTGGGAAACTGGGCAGAGAAGAATCTCTTGAAGTTCAACAAAGTTAACGCTCAGTCCTCCATCTGGAGAGCAATAACCTCGTGCACCACCACGAGCCAGCAATGAGCCCTCACAGCAAAGAAGGCCAACAGCATCCCAGACTGCATTAGCAGAGCTGCCAGGAGCCACAGGAGGACATCCTTCCTCTCTACTCAGCACCAGGGAGGTCTAGCTGGAGTGCTGGGTTCAGTGCTGGGCTCACTGGTACAAGAGAAACATGAACACACTGCAGTGAATCCAGCAAAGGGTCACAAAGTTGATGAAGGGATTGGAGCATCCTCCATATGAAAAGAGGCTGAGGGAGTTGGGACTGTTCAGTCCATATATCAGTGTGTAGAAATACCTGATGTAAGAGTGTATAAAGAATTGGTGGAGCCAAACTCTTGCCAGTGACAAGAAAAGAAACAACGGGCACAAATTAAGAAACACAAAATTCCACTTGAGCAGAGGTCAACTTGTTTGCTCTGAGAGTGGTCACACACTGTCACAAATTTCCCAGAGAGGCTGTGGTGCAGTGTCCATCCCTGAGGATACAGTCCTGGGCAACCTGCTCTAGCTGAGCCTGCTTTGAGCAGGGGAGGTTGTGCTACACGATCATGAGGTGCCTTCTAACCATGACAACTGTGTGATACTGTGATCTTAAAATATATCCAGAAAACACTGCTTTAGGAACAGAGCTCCTTTTTTCAAGCTAAAAAGTTTAATAGCCCCATAACAAAGCAACAAAATCTCTCACCTTTGTGAGAGTTTTTCACACTCAACATTGAATCAGAGTAGAGGCCACAGGATTGTCTAAACATGGAAAAGTCTTTAACTTAAACAGATACTTCTAGATCTTATTATCTGGGGAGTAATTTTTAAAAACTGACTCATCAACAGCATTCAGAAAGCTATACAGGTCATTCCAGTCTATCTGAGTAGGCACAGTAAATGACAATGTACATCAAAATTACATACACACATATCTCAGCTGAGTTAAAATTACAAGTTCTTACAGGGTTGTTGGTGGATTTTAAAAATATAGTCCTAATATGGCCTAATCAGTTTTGTTGTTCATTTTTTTGATCATGCTACTCTACTCTGAATTCCTGCAAACCAATATAGTGCAAGTGGTCTGGTATTGCAGAGCAGCAAATCTACTGCAGGCTAGGAACACTGCTACTAAATACTAGGAATATTTTCAATAATGCCTATTTTCAATAAAAAAACAAAAAATCATCTCTGGTTTTAAGATGATTATCTTTAGGAAAACAGGCACACCTATGCAAAATATATGAAAAAATGGCTCCACTTCCAATTTTTTATTGAAAATATTTGCTTACTTTCAGAAAAAAAAATTAAGGATATAGCAAAACAAACAAAAAAAACCCAAAAACCGCCCAAACCAACCAACCAACCAACAACAACAACCCACAAAAAAACCCCACTAATATTCTGGGCCATACATCCTTGTGCCATCATCTCGACATGCTGGAAATTAAATCAGCTATTTACTGCCAACATCTGCCTAGATTTTTTAAGTCCTCCATGTATTTTAGAGAGAATTATGTACATATAATCCATCAATGTTCTTTACTTGTCTGATGTCCTTATCTGTATCAGAATGACATCCAATAAGTAGATAATTAATTGAAAACCACAAGTCAGTTCCTCTCTGTAGCTTCACTCTGCTATCACTGTATTTTATATAAATGATTGTCTTTTGCACATTACACACATTACAGAACAAAGAAGAAGGGGGTGGATTAGGTAAGAGTACCTGTTTGTAGAGCCAGCCACGTCTGACAACTGGTGCATTAGGATTTCTCTTTATGGAGTTCGATCTCTTTCCGAAATTATGAACCTTCTTTGAAGACCGTGATGTCTAAATTGAATTGAACAGGTTAAAGAAACCATGACATCAATATCTGCTGAAAAATCATAACACATTTCCTTTGCTTTAAGAACTTTTTCTTATACGTGTTCCTCTAGGGGACTGCAGAACACAAACTGCATTCCTTTTTCAGATGAATAATTATTGTGATGGTTCTGCTGGTTTAAGCATTTATTTCATTTCTTCTGCAGAAAATATAAAGACAAATCCCAAAACAAGTACTTGAACATTTTTTTTTTTAAACAAGAAAAATCTCAAACAAATAGATATCTGACCTTCTTATAAGGAAGGTAGAATGCCTACAGAGCTGTAGAAAGAGAAGTAAACTCTCAGAACTACTATTAATTACGAAAAATTACATCACCTGGGCAGAAAATGCTGCTCTTCCTTGCTTCCAACACTAACCTATGACCTAATCTATGACAACTTGTCCAGATTTCAATAGGATATAACTCCCCCTTTCCTAACACATACTAATTTTTTTATTCTTTCTTTCTTCTCAAGAACCTTTTGCTCTGTGATCTCTTGGCTAGTTTGAATATTTACTATTTTACCTGCTTGCAACTAAGGTCTACTTTGAAACTTTTGTCCTGTAACTCCAGTGCTTTTATTTGCTGTTGCTTGTACCTTTTAAAACCTTGCAATGATCACGTATGACTAAGAGAAGTAGGAAAACCAACCCATTTTAGATTTTATCCTTCTACTTGAATAACCAAAAGAAATTGGAAAAGGCATAAAGAAACGTGCAGTGCTTTGCCAATTCACACTTCCATTCTTCTCAGCCTACATTAAGAAGTCTGTGCTGTAACTAAATGAGCTGAACATTTACTTGTGTTTTAAATCCTGTAAGAACTGGTGCCTCAGAGACCATGCCATGTGACAGAGCACAAGAAGTAAAATTCAAGTAAGTTTTTTAAGCTGTATTCATGGCTCTGCTTCAAATCCACCATTTGAACCGAGACAACATAATCCTGTGTCTCAGCTTCCCTATCTCTGCTACTGAGACTAATCATGAGTCTATGCAAAATTCCCGAAGGAGGAATGCTAAACACACACTCAGGTTTTGGTTGCAAATTAGGGTATGGGGGGGGTTCTCTGTGGAAATTCTCTCAACACGTATCACAGAACTGAGTTGGGTTTTATACATGCTTCAGAGAGAATTCCACAATAGGTTAAAAATCATAAACAGGAAACTTAATTCAAAATTATGTGCAGCTTTTGTCAACGATGCCAGCTGACAAAAGGATACATCGCTTGGCTAAAAAAGAACAACATTACACAAACTACGTGTGTTTGCCTAAAGTCTACAACACAATGAAACAAGGACGTTTTGTCTCTCTTTTCTTGCAAGAATCATGAGGGAATATAAAAACAAGCAGAGTGCTTGTAATTTCCCTTGAAGATACAGTAACTTGGCTCAGCTCTGGGAAGCACGACAGAGCAGGCAACTCAAAAGCAAATGAAGAATAAAAGTAAAAAACGTCCACATTTTCATCTGAAAAATTCTACCACTGCAAAATGGAGAAAGGGTTGTAAGAAGCCAAGAGAATTATGACATCCAGCTGTGAAAAAGCAATATACAGAGAATCTATAACAATCCAGTTATAAAGTGAACTACATCTCTCTCAGTTAACCTGCATGACTTGATATTGGAATATCACACACGAGCTCTGCCAACACTTTGATCAGAAATAATTTATAACACTCATAGCTGCTCTAATATTAGGTATTAAAGGTTCAAAACCTCTTGAGAGTGTTCTAGAATTCCTATACTTGTAAAAATAGCTAATGTATTAAAGATGCTTCTGAAAACACAACGAACCACAAGTACTGCTAATGTCAAGTCTATCAACAAATTCAGATAATTTAGACAGCTCTCTCTAAGGTAGGTCTGATAAAAAACCATATTGACTCCAATTTCCCTGAGCTAACAGTAAAGTTTTAATGGGTTACATCCTAACAACTGTGAATACAAACTTCCTTTAATTAAATGCAGCGTCACAAGTGCTTTCTAATTTTAGTTAATACAGAGAACACTTTAGATGACTCGTGATTATTTTACCTCACACTGCATAAAGAGAATAACTGTTCACAACAAACTCTGAGCCTTGAGACAATAAGTACTGAAATACTGAAGGTGCATATATAAACTAATTATGAGTTCTCAGACTTTTTACATCACCTCCTCCTCTTGTTATGCCTGGAATCCCTGGCCATTCCATATTCTCCCACACATATCTAGTTATCTCAAACTGTGGACACAGGAAGATGGGAAAAAAAAAAAAAGAATTGAAGGGTTCAAGTACTTTTTACCCCATAGCACTAAAAATACAGGACATATTGCACAGCTCCAGCTTCTGGAGAAGGAAAAGAGAAAAGGAGGATAGTGAATAAATAATCCAGATACTAAGTACTTGCTGGAGGTGTAGAAGTTAACAGAGCAAGCAAACGTAGTCAAATCTGGTACCATCTGATCCCTTCTAAGGCATGGTCCTGGCAACTGTGATGCCTCCAAAACCAGAACCTAAGTGAGGGACCCTGCATGGTTCCAGGACTGAGAAAGAAGCCAGGAAGTCCAGCCAGTGATATTCACTCTTTCCCCAAACTGAAAAAACAAACACCAGCAGGCTTTTGAACTCTGGGCAACAGAGCAGTCAGCAGCTGGGGCTGCACACTTCATCACTCTGCAAGATGCTTTTCTCCCTGCTTAGCTGGTAGAGGACACAGGATTTATGTGAGGCTTCTTCCCCAGTTTCGGAACTAGCACAAAAGTAATTCATTAACCTTAAACTTATTGCATATATACTTGAAAAAAATAGGTTGAAGTCCTTGCTAAAATGGAAATTTTGTGCACGTAAACTCAGAGAATAGAAATCTATATCTTTGTTACTTTCCAATTCTGTTTAAAAATACGTTTCCAGTCTTCAAGGCTTACATTATCTTCCAAACCACAAAGCAACATGATGCTGCCTTCTGGATTTTGTAGGCAATTTCAGTGCCTTCCAATGTTGCAGTTTTCCATGAGCTCAGTGGGTTTCTGCCTCAGCATTTTAGCTTGGACTCGGAGGCTGCTCTTAAAGCAAATCTCCCAATCATTCATGCTTTACTGTGCTTTGGTTTGCATAACAAAGTAAACTGGATTTAATTTAGGGTAAGACTAAAATGGAAGATGCACAAGGAGTACTACTGGACTTGTCTGACTATGGAAACCCAGTATAGATATTCAGCCTGAGCACCAATACTGCCCTTCACACTGCTCCTGTTTACTGGGCTGTTTGCTAATAAACCTCAAAAATTTCCAGCCTAGGTAAGGTTATACCTAAACTAACCATTTAAAGCTGGACTCGCTTGAGCACTGTATGAAATACATATAAACAAACTGATAAACATTTATAAACATGGTGATACATCACAGTGACTTTAATAGAGTCACCAGGAGCTCTGCAGCATCTGTCCTGGGCTAACACTCCACTCCACTTGCTGTGAGAAAATTGTTCCCTTTATTCTGCTGATAATCAGGACAGCAATGAAGAGCAGCAGAGATGAACTGTGGAGGGTCACTGGTAATATGACTTTACACATTAAAAAAGCTGATTCCCTGAATGCATTTCATAATTGTATTTGTCTGGGTAGTGATTTTAACAGCAGGGAAAAAATAAAATAAAATAGACAACTACAAAATCGATTTCTTAATTTTACAAAGAAAGGTGAAAATATGTACTTCTGTAGCAATTTCAGGCCTATGTAGATCTTTTTCACAGTCAGAGGTCTGTCCTAGGGGCTTCAAGTTTAGAAATACACTTCAAGCTGACAGGGAAGAAGCAGCACTTAACAGAGCTGTAGTGTGTTATCTGGCCAGCATCATGTATACAGTGGGAAAGGAGGATTAGAATTAAGACTTTTACTGGGGCAAGACTGACCTTTGCCTCACCTCACATTAGCCTCTGGGCAGCAGCAGAGTCTTTCTGCCACAAAACAGAAACTTCTCCAAGTTCCATATCTATTTGGGATCAATTAACATCAACGAAAGGAAGAACTTATTTCTATACCCCTCATCTGTCTGAAACTTTAATTGTACCACAAACTTTTGTTCTATTCCTCATTACCTTCCAACATCAGGTGTGTTCATGAGTTATCTCTGAAAACAGAAACACCTAAAAATTACATGAAGCAACCACACAAGGCATCCTTCTGCTCTGTAATTTACTTTCCTCAACAACATTGTGCTGCAATACATGGAACCTCTATATATTATATTCAAAAGTTGATAAGACAGCTAAGAATTTCAGGTCCTACTGCTGGAAGACATGAATAAAAACATACAAGAAAATCAGTTCTGTATCCATGTACAACCTAAGGGCCCTTTCTACAGAGTTATCTTTAAAAGTGCTTGCCAGAAAATGCTGACTGGTATCAGCTGTGGTTCTACTTTACAAGTATTCACCTCCTAAACACAACAATTTTAAAATGGTGTGGCAATAATTCAGACAAATTCACATTTAAAAAGTGATTTACAGTAATTACACATACAGCCACAAGAACCATATTAATATTTTAAGTCCATTTAAATAACTGGAACAGGAAGAATGAAAAGTACAACAAGAATCTGCTTTTTTAAAATATTATTTTCACAGAAAGTTAAAGTGTCATTAATCAATGAAAGTAAAGAAATCACAGTAACTGGGCCATAGAATTCTCAATTTCCTTCTAGAACGTTATGAAACAAACATTAGGCTGAAGGGTATTTTCAACTTCTCCTTTGAAAGAGGAGTGTGAAAAATATGCTTGTAAAACACATGCTCCTAAATTGTAATTAATTTCCTACATTTAACCTAAGATTGCTTCCTAGAAAATTAATTTCAACAGAACTAGCTCTGTAACTATTGCATTCTGCATCACTATTATGACTACAGCAATAAGTTATCTTGGGTTTTTTGCTTGCTTGGTTGTTTTAGGGCTTAGCTGGTTCTGAGTTCATTTTTTTGCTGTTGTTGTTTGGGGGGTTTCTAGTTTGTTTTGTTTTAAACTGGTTTTCCTGCATGGACTTAAACATGATCATATGAAAGTTGAGATGGATTTTGTTACTGTTTATAATACATCTGTGACTATTTTTCCCCCCAGCAACATTAACAGATTAAGACACTTTTTTCATTAAAAAACTTTTCTGATGTAGGTCAAGGATTCTGTCTGTCTCATTAGACATCTAAAACAATAAATATTTCCAAAATGCACTTAAAGAAACCTTACAATATTTTCTCCCACATGGAAAATAAATTATTTCAGTCCAAGTTTCTGAAATTAAGGAATTTGTTCAGCTAAAACACATTCCAAAGTTTATTTTTCTCTTGCAGGCTGGATTAACCTGCCAAAAAAGCCCTTCTCAGGGTTAAAATTTTCATTGACTAGCGAAAGTATAGGTTTTTTTCCCCTTGTTTAAATGTTAACTACTAGTAGAAGAGATGACAAGGCTCTTGTTTGTCATCACTGACCAAAGTAGTTATCTTGGTGTCTTAGCAAACTTAAGGGACTTCTTAATTTTGTATCAAGCACACTCTCCTTTCAGGAACTGAACTTTTAGTTTCAGTTTAGAAAACTAAAAAAACAATAAATGCACACAATAAGCTCATCAGTTTTATCCAGTAAACTTAAAAGTTGATAAAAACATCTGGGCATTTCCCTTAACCCCCTGAGAAGCTGGGCAAATGGAGAAGACACAAATTCAGGTGACCCTGGGAACCTCCAGAACTTTCCCCAGGAATTTTCCTAGGAAAGGAGGAGTTCTCGTCCAATGCCAGCAAATCATGTCAGCTGCTGTTTACCACAGGGTCACCCTCCACCTCTCTTATAACTACTTCTTATACACAATTATAACTTTTACTGGAGAAATCCAGTCAATTATTTGTGATTGAGCAATTTCTGTAACAGTGGTTGCCCAGATGCCTCATCAGTCACTCAAGGTTCTGCTGTTCACACAGATTAGAAAGGTCAGATTCTGTGAACAATTTAAGTATGTGCAAGTCATAAGATCGGAGTTAGCTGATAAAAATTACAGTTACAGTGATAATTTGTTTCAGACACTTCAGTTTCCAAATTAAACATGAAAGGGCTGAAGTGCCCTGACGAAGAGATATATCCTGTTTCTCTTTTTCAGTGGAATGCTAATATATAGCACTGTCTAGTACCTTGTGGAATAACTGAATAATTTTAATTTTAATTTTATTTGGACATAAAGACTTACTCTGCCCACAGGGCTCATTGGATGAGCAGCATAATCTGATGTCAGATTATAGTTAGATGCTTCACATATCATGCTTACTGGTCGCTCCTTCTTTTCTTCAGATGTCATTGCTGCAGCAGTCCTGAAAATAGAATATGTAATAGCACTAGAACATGCTGTGTGTGCAGACTGCTAATAAAAAGCACCCCTAGATGTAGCCTAGTACAGCCTGTGTCCTACTTTCCAAATCTGAAAGCAATTCACATGTCAATGCAAAGTTACCTGCACGGTGTTTTAAACTCAAATCTATAACAGATGAATTTTAAGGCGTTGTTCTAAACCAGGATTTCTCTATTAGTGTAAGGTGTTGGTGGGAGGGAAAAAGACAGGTATGAGCATGAGATGGAAATGGGAAGAAATGCCCTCCAAAGAGCCCTTCTGGCTTTGCCCCACTTGGTGAGAACAGGCAGGTTTTGAAACTGCAGTTCTCATGGGTTTCGCTCTCGCCACCGTACATGTTTCAGCAATGCTGGTGAGCAGGACACCCAAAAACCAACCACACACAAAATCCTGAGGTCAGGTATGAGTTCCATGCCTATCTCCTTGCACTGCTGTGTATTCTACAAAACTAATGCAGGCACAGCAAATCCAAGCAGTTATCCAGTGATTCAGAAAGCGTCCCAGCTGGCCAAAACCATAACCAGCTGAGGAGAAACTATCAGGGAAAACATTATAGATTAACAGCATGTGACTGTCCCCAAGTGATCATAAAATTTATTGCTTCTTGGAGGTTTATTTGGTTATGATATAATATACAGGTCGTTTGCTAAACCTACAGAATAAGTAAAGTGACAAGTGGAAACTCACACACTGCATAAACACGGTGCATTTCTATCATACAACTAATTTGGGCTATGGTTTTGATCTTAAAAATTAGCATTAAATATTTAATACTACTTTCAAGTAATTTAATCAAGTAAAACTATACACATGCTGATCTGACTTGGGGAAAATAAATATTGCAATTAGTAATTCACTGAATCTTGCTTCGATATTAACAGGTTTTAAAACATATATTTTATGGAGTGAAACAGATGGCACTTACTGTTCGTTCACAACAAAAATACAGTTGTCCTGCGATGGTTGTCCTGTTACTGGATGTTTGCAGGTTACTTTTCGTTCATTATGACTGTGAAAGAGAGATAAAGAAAACTATTAGGCAATGATGTTTTGGTTTTCCAACTCAAATACGTAAATCCAGTACAACGAATATATTGGTACAATGAAAACAATTATGAATATTTCACTATGGCATATGACAACATCTGTGTACACACACACAATGCATATATATATATATTAATAAAAAGGATGAGAACAACTGCTAAAGAATCTTCATTAATACCTTGGAAAGAGATAGGAAACATTGGCACTGGGTTGGTAATTATTTTGCATTTTAAAAACTAAAGCCAGTAAAAGAGTTAGTTCATATATGAACATATATAATTCACTTCAGCTACATCTTAATGTGTTCATAAACAGGATTTCAGCTAGACAGGGACAAGTTAAACCTGAGACACACATAATTGCTCTGTAAGGATTAAATATCACTGCTGTAAAGCAACTGTCTTCTACCTCAGAACATGAAGATACCAGTTTAAAATTTCTGATATTACAAATATCCAACAATTGGAACAAGACTGATTAATTACAATCACGGTTCTACTTTTGCAGGTGACTTCTAAATTCAGAGTACTGCTCCCCTGCAGTGATCCCAGGAGTACCTTCAAGTGTCAGGGAGCCTGACAGCCCAGAGCTTCACCCTCAGCAGCACAAAAACACCCACTCTGCAGTATCTCGTTCCCCTGAACTGCAGGTACTGTTAGGCCACAGCAGCTCCCACAGTTTGGAAGAAATTGCCAAAATTCAACAACTATCAGATGCTGTCTGAACTCAAGAAAGAAATATCTGGACTTGAGTCCTCCAGCCTCCGAGGGGAAGGAAGAGAAGGGGAGGAATTCTCTGGTTCTGGGCTCCTCAGTTCAAAAAAGACAAGGAATTACTGGAAGGGTTCAGCACTGGGCTACAGACATGATGAGGGGACTTATGAGGAAAGGCTGGGAGAGCTGGGCCTGTTCAGCCTGGAGAAGAAACGACTGAGAGGGGATGTTATCAATGCACCCACGTATCTGAAGGGCAGGTGTTAAGAGGATGGGGTCAGACTTTCTTCAGTGGTGCCCAGTGACAGGCACACACTGAAACACAGGGAGTTCCATTTGAATATTAGGAAAAACTTCTTTTACTGTGATGGTGACAAAGCACTGAACAGGCTGCTCAGAGATGTTGTGGAGTCTCCTCTGGAAAGCTTTAAAACCTGCCTGGACGCAATCCTGTGCAACCTGCTCTACGTGACCCTGATCTCCAGAGGCCTCTTCCAACCCTAAGCAATCTGTCATTCTGTCATTTACTGCCTACCAGATATGTCAATCAGCTGGTTGTTACAACCTGTGCCTGCTGCAGACGGGGGTTTTTCCACCCCCTCCATGCAAGTGGCAGGATCCCAGCCCAGTGACACCAGGAGCACACCTGAGAGCACAGAGCTGCCAGCTGGCACAGCGACAAGGCTAGGAGAGGCAAGGATGGCTGGATTGCAACAAACCCCTCCGAACTCTCCTGCCCCAAAACGTAGGAAGGAGAGCAGGGGGAGGTATGCTGACAAAATTTAAACCTGGTTCAGTGTTTAAAAAGCATATGAGCAGAAATCAGACTAAGAAAAGGCAGTGAGGATATAATGCAGGTGTGCTATTTGGGTATCATCCACATGTTTCAAAACTAACCTCTTTTATTTTTAACACTTCAAAAAGTATTTATAAACAAAAAAGTATACAATACTAACCCACCAGTATCTGAAATCAGCACTGTAAATCATGAAAAAAGTAATTTCATCTGACACCATTTACTTTTGCAAAGAATATGTGGTGATACTGTTTCTCATGTAAGGTACCTTACATAATACTATGCTTTTCTTATAAGAAGTTCAGCTCTTAAAAATATTCTTGGACAGAGAACGAGCCTGGACCAAAAAGAAGTGCTTTAGGTGTAAGATGGCAGAAGGGGTGCAGAATAACAAAACCTTTGAATGGCACTTTACCCCTAATACCTACTTCTTTTATTGTCTATTCATTTAACCATCTTGGCTTTCGAAATCGTGAAGCACAGTCATCTCACAAATGTTATGCTCTCTACCTTTCCTGCTTCTTAAAACAACCTCAACTTAACAAGACTATCTTTACATTCCCCACTTTTAAAAAAAACTCCTTTAAATCATAACATTTTGCAATTATGGAGCATTATTAATTAAAAGTTGCCTCCAAACCAAAGCCTAATAAAAAATTCACACTACTTTCATGGTGAATGAATGGATAAATCTAGATAAACCTAGAGTGCAAGATTAGAAAGATAGCCCAATTCTTTGCACTTTCTCTACTGGGATTTCAAAAATCTACTAATACCTAAACGGACAGAATGTGTTACAGAGCGTAACTAATGAGCTAGCAAATGCTGGTACTTTATCTTTGTACTAAATTCAGCAGAATTCTAAGTTTAGCTTCTGAAAAAGCTGCTGTTGCAGAAATGTATCAATTACAATGAGAGGACAAGAAAGAGTTGACATGAGGACATTCTGTGCCATTCTTAATTGCCATGGTCATACAATGCCTTTCGAGCAAAAATGACCCAGATTGAAGAGAATTCGATTTCAAAACCCTCCTGAGGAAGTATCCGGCCTTGTTTTATTTTGGGGTCATTCCTTTTTTTCTTCACTTCCAAAAAACTTTCTTTTTGTTCCCTCTGACATTTCAGAAACTCTCACATCAGACTAAAAAAAAGATCAAAAAAAACCCTGTGGAGACGAGCTGGTGCTCCGCAAGCTTTGCCAAAATGTTGCTGCCTTGTTCACAATTAAACCTTGGCAGGGGGCTATCAGCTGACATCCAGAAATGTAGAAATAAATGGATCAGGACTTCTGCTCAGGGACCACCAATACTTGGGATTACTACAGAGGAGACACATCCCAAGTTTTGTGTGAGTGCACCTGGTTCACACCGACACAGGAAGAGCCCACATTCCAAGACTGTACAGGGGAGGCCAAATAAAACCAGGAGTGAAAGCAGGGAGGGGGTGGAAAACAAGAGTGAGAGGAGAGGAAGCATTGACACAAACCTGTTCAAGAATATTTTGTTTCAGGTTTGAGTCACATACCAAGTTGGTATTCCAAAAACATCAGAATGTTCTTGGACAAAATACTGGTTTCCTTACTACTCACACTGATGTTGAGATGTATAGGGGGGTAGCTGACATTACATAAAAAAAGGTAAAAAAAACATATCACAGACATGATATGCAGTACCTTCTTTCTAGACTTGCACAGTCAGTTCTTCCTAAAAAGTCAATGCAAAGGAAAAACAACCTGTTCTTTCTCTTCGGCTCAGACGCAAGTGAAATCTCAGGAGTGAACACTGGAAATTCAGCTTGTGCAACTAAGTGTGACGACTGTAAATATGTCTAACTGGATGAATAGATTTTAAATACTGCCATTTGAAAACTTTTTCATTACTCATCTAATTATGGCATTTTTGGCAGTAATTCAGTTGATATTTTGACAAGACTCCTCAAAATACTTGCGCAAGGTGTAGAGAAGCTCGATAATTATTGTCATAACCCTCCCACATAACAGTAGGTTAAGGCATTTGTTTTAAACTCCATCTTGCAGAGTGCAGAGAGTTTTATCAGAACCGAGCTACAACATCCAATTTAGACAGTTGTTCAGTAATCTATAAATTTCTGGGTCCATATACACACTTAGAATTTCACATTGCACTATAATAATATATATCTCATTGATAAATCTCAGGGGAAGTAAAGCAATAAACTGGATTATTTTACTGAGAACTCTAATTTCAATTTTATACAAACTCCAACGTGTAACTCAGAGTTTCAACTCTGCATGTTTATGTGTCTGTACTTTTATTATGTGGAAAGAGAGTGATTCACTTTGACACAGGCAGCTAGAAGCCAGCGTGTTCCTTTTTACTTATTCAGAGATACAGCCTCCAACAGGTATATGGAAACAACACTCCTCTTCCTTCTCTCTCCAATTTTTCCTACCAACATGTTTTGAGGACACAGGATAACTATACATACACTCTGCTACACTTATACAGAGGGACATAAATGATCCTTACTATTTTAGGATCCACACTAATGGCATGCTAAACACTACAGACAAAGACAGGAAAAAATTCCCAGTGTATTTCATTACTATTCATCAGCATATTCTCCAGACTTGGTATGTGGCACAAACTATTCCTCATTAATATCTGCTACCAGGACGTGTCAGGCCTCAAAAATCGACACAGACTGAGTAAGAGATGACATGAGATAAGCACTTCACTGCAAAATAAAGCATGTATCGAGATATGTTCTTGCATGTACCAAGACAACTGATTCCAGTAGTGGCTTGGTACCTGCGACAGAAGAATCAAAACCAAACTAAACCAAACCAACAATAAAGAAATAAGAAAACCCACAACACAAAACCCTAACCACACCAAAACAGCTTCACACGGGGACAGGTTCCATTTTTAGCTGTCTCAGTGTAAGACACCAACTTAACACGCACCTACTTTACTTGACCTCTTTTCTCCAGGAATTTCAAACTTCTCCTTCCCAATCCTTTCCTCTGAAAACTGTAAGCTTTGGCATCAGTTTAGCACATAGCTTAGTTCTGGCATATGGACAAGCCCTCAGAGCAAAAGGATTTATCTTGTTCAGGTTAGAAGCTGACAGTAACCTTGAATTTGACTTATGTTATTTGCCTTCTTATCGACTCTTTCTCCTTTCCATTACTTGAGCCCCTAATCTCTTTAGAAGACAGGATTATTTTACTTATTTTCTCGACATGTTCAAAAAACCTTGTTGTGTAGTTTTAATCTACTCACTACATGTACAGTCAACAGCAATCTTTTTGTTGGCTTAATGTGATCCAAAGGCTACTTAAAAAAAAAAAAGCCCTCAAATATATCATTCAGAGATACTATTCTATTTGTAAGTAGCAACTGAGTGCATCATTCCAGGAGCAGCACTTGCCAACAGAAGCCCTACACAAGCAGGTTTCTTTGTTTTCATTCT